AGAGGGAGGTCCTGGTCCCACGAGAGTGTTTCTTGCGGATGTGCAGAGGTTGTGGCGCCGGGCGGAGGCTGCGGTTGAGGTTCCGTTCAGGTCCCGCTGCTTTTTCCCAGCTATGCCCCGTGGGTCCTTTTGGTGTGACCATTCTGTCAGCGGCAGGATGGGCAGTGTTGTACAGCGGGAACGCGGGACACACACACCACCATGGGAAGATGTCTTTGAAACGAGAAAGGGCAGAGGGCTGGGTCCAGTTCGCTGTAGTTTGCCCTTATGGATCCCCACCACGTTCTTCCAGCTGCTTCTCCAAGGCACTGAGTGGGAGCTTTGTGCTCCAAGAGAGAAGACTATAAGGTTATTCTGTTAGCCTTAGCCTGGTAAACAGGAGCGTATGCGGTATTGCAGTCTCTCACAGTATTTAGTGATTTCCTGCCCATTTCTTTCTGTACATTTCCTATGTCTTCTCCAGGCTCAAACCTACTCGAACTCAGGTGTTTCTGAATCATTATCCTTGCCAGAAATGTGAGAATTAACAGGCTGTACTTACATAGAATTTTTTGGATGAGTTCCCCTTGAGTAAATGTGACCTATGTACAGTGAAGTGCCTGGCCGCTTTCCTGCTGTTATTTTAGCATCAAGAAGCCTAAATAGTGGGATCAGGAGATTGTGAAGGATGTTGATGCTGCTGACAGCTTATTTGTTTTTTCTTGCTTCATTCATTGCCACTGATCAAAGTATTACTCAGAAAGATAAAGCAAAATGTATTTTCAGTAATCCTGGTAATCTGCCTTGTGCTTCAAGGAAAATCTACAGCCTTAGGGAAATAACTATCCTTCAAAGTAAGCTCAGCCCTTCCTCTGAAGCTGACTTTATGTAGTGTGCCAGTATTGCCGTTTCACCAGCACTTCTCTGGATAAAATGTGGGATGTGGTACCTGGTGGTTCAGCTGGTGTTGGTGCAGTCGCAGTGAAAAGGCACAGCAAGGGCAGTGAATTCATTGGCAACTGACAGGCTTGGAAAATAAGCCTTAGCTGCAGATGTGAGGACACAGAAAGGCAGCATCCTTGTGGCTCATTTTACAAATATGTGACAATTGGAAAACCGGCCACGTGTTCAGAAGTGTGTTTCTGATTGCTGCAGATCCATACTGAGGCTTACACCCTGAGCTGTACCAGCAAACTTGTGCATTGAGGCAGAGCACCTGGAGGGGCTACCCAGGTGCTGGCTCTCCTTTTAGCTCCAAATTCCTTGTCATTTGGTTCTGAATTATTTGGGGCAGTTCTGTGCAGAACTGTACAATAATTGTCTCTTTGTGTCCTCTAAATATCAGTAAATAAGTAGTAATGATGATGGTGTAGTGTAACTTGAATATTTTTATGTCCATCTTAATTTCAAAAGGGTGCAAAACATCAGGTTTGTTCAGCACAGGATTTTTTTCTGGATGACAGCTTATGCTGATGTACACTTTCATTATTCACTAACTATGGTCTTTTTTAAGAGTAATGACAGTGGTTTATCATGTTAAGGCAATGGAAAAGTAGGAGGATTTTATGTCCTGTTGGTTAATGGAAGAAATATTTTGGAGTGCTTGTTGTAAAATCTTTACTGTTCCCTGCATACAAGTTAAGGAGATTCAGTCAATTTATACAAAAGTTAGCCTATTAGAAAGCCCATTTTCCTATTTCTGTTAATTTGTTTGCTTTTTTTTTTTTAAATTTATGAACGTGCTTACCAGCATTAATTCAATCAAACACTACTATACAGTCTAGAAAATTCTCTAGATGTCGAACTAAGAGCAATTTTATTTTGTTCTTCAGCTGTTGTAAATGTTCTTTAGTTTTAAAATTAGTTTTCTGTATTTCCAAACAGAAGGTAATAATACTGCTCTTTGTGTTAAAAGGCTGTTGATAAAGTTGTTCTAATCATGACTGTGTCACATAAATGAACTAATATGCCTGTTTATTATTTTTCTTTTGCATCAGCATTTGCATTTTGATTTTCCATGGCCATAAAATAATTTGCACTTTAAAGTCTGAATTGAATTGCCTAGTCATCTGCTATTAATTTGGTAAATTCCACTAATGGAAATGAATTTTGCTTAGTTTTAAGGAATCTGCAAAGTCAGTCCTCCAAAGCTGTATGGTCTGATCACTGCTTTGTTCAGTTGTCTGCTTAACATCAAAGTTTTCTTAGTTGTGCATTTATTTTTATTAAAGAAGCTCTCCTATTCTAAGTTCATCCCGGACACATTGCCAGACTTTGTTAATTGCTACACAATACCGTTTTTGGGGGTTTCTTGTAACTTGTTATGTAACTAATCTTAACATCTTAATTATGGTTTTGTGTGTGTAATAGAATTTGTCAGGAGCTAATTTAAATATTTCCCGTCCTTTCCTGGGGGTGGGAACATTTGTGGGACCGAAAGTGAATGCTCAGTATAGAGGGTTGTCTATTTTAGGGGAAATGTTTGCCAGAGCACAAAAAAAAAAAGGTGGAGCACACAGAGAGATTGCTTAGTAAAATATTTGAGAGATTCGAGGGTCTGGGACTGTTAGGAGGCTCAGTGTGTTGTGGAAGTGATGTGTACAGTCTTGGAAGGAAAGTTTGACATCATTTCCCTAGCAATATCTAGCTGCTGGCTGCTTCCCAAAATATTTTAGCAGGCAAAGAGTCACAAGCCTTTTTTTTTTTTTTCAACTCCCCCCCTGTCTGATTTTTATCTAAAAAAGAAAAAAAACCAGAAATCCTTGAAATTATAAAAGGAATTCAAGCAAATGGAAGCAGTAAAATCTTAAAACCAGACATGAAACCTTTGAACTGCTTTCTGTTGTATGTTTATACATCACTTCAAAAAACTAAATAACAGCAGTAATTCAGGCATAGCAAAGTGAGGTCCTCGTGCAGATTTAAGGTGGTCAAACTAACCACTTAAGCTGATGTTAGTGTTCTTCTGTGGTAACGCTTCTGTTCTCCATCCCCTCTGGAAAACTGTAAATAATTTAAGTATCATTTCTTTTACCTTTTGAATTTTTATGTATTATCACAGAGGAGAATCATTTAGCTAGCTCTCTTGTTTCTGGATCTGGCGAATGTGCTGTTTAAAACGTGTCTCTATACTTTAATGAGAACTGTGAATGTGGAGGAGAAAATAAATAAATAACCAATTGGCAAACCTCACAGCTATTACTCAAAAAGGCATATTTTCACTTTCTCCTACAGAGATTCCCCAACTGTGATGTCTCACATCGTAAAGCTTATCAGTCTTGTGCAATATTTTTGTGATGTTACTCACCAAAATCAATATGCTGAGATTATACTGTGGGAGCAGTCATCCTTTTGTATCTCATAATAGTGTTTGATTTTTCCTTTTCTTCCTTAATTTTCCAGTACTGCTTATAATATTAGTGTGTAAATTAGCTGTTAGTAGTTTGGGTGCCCGCAGTACACATTGCACACTGCTAGAATGTGTTTCAGATAGACAATGAGCAGTGAACAGAAGTAGAACTGGGTTGAAGTCTCGGAAACACTTGGATTTACCTCTTTTCTTAGCAGCTGCCTTGCGATGAAATTATGCTAACAGGGCAAGAGGGAGACCAAGGTAGAGTTAAACTTTCTCCATCAAGGAAAAAAAAAAGTCGAATGGGGGGTAAATGAACTCTTTTGTCTGCTTTTTCCCCTTCAGCTATGACAGGGGATCCACATTCAACGTATTTGTGGGCAAAGGTCAACTTATTGCTGGGATGGACAAAGCTCTGGTCGGCATGTGCGTGAATGAGCGGCGGTTTGTGAAAATCCCCCCCAAGCTTGCCTACGGAAGTGAAGGCGTCCGTAAGTACGGCCCCGAGCCAGTGAATGAATAGCTGGTTGTGTAAGTGATCCAGCAGAAGAGATAGAAAATGGAATCACAGAAGAGAAGGGTAGAAATTGCAGGTACTGAATTTTGGAGAGGTTCTCCCCTGTCCTTCAGGGGTGTTTGTTAAGCCTGTAGCCTGGCTAATTTCTCCAGACACCCTCTGCATGCTGAAGGGAGAGCTATTTGTTGACTGTAGAGGACCTTCAGCAAATAAACCTTGCTACTAAAGTTCACTATTTATTTATATCTACCTCACTGTTAAATACTTACTGTGGTTTGGCATTGCAGAGCTGCACAAGTTTTTATCAGTGCCAAAAGCAGCTTTGTTCTACAGCCTCAGAGAGGCAACAAATGCTAACTCAAGATGAGTTTGCTTGATAGACGTCTTTGATAACAGTTCACTTTGCCAGATTTCCCCCCTTAAATATCTGCAACAGTGGCAACAGCCCAGAGAGTTATAAGCATAACAAGGAATAAGGTGTGCATTAATCATTCCTTTTAGGGTATGCGTGGTTTGGTTCCTTTTCACTGATGCCCTGTATAAAAAGGGAAACAAAACTGGATGTGTTGTTTTGCTTTTGCAGCTGGTGTGATACCCCCCAATGCTGTGCTCCATTTCGATGTGCTCCTGATAGATCTTTGGAACTCAGAGGACGAAGTGCAGGTTCAGACTTATTTCAAACCTGAGAAGTGTCCTCGGACAGTCCAGGTGTCTGACTTTGTACGGTACCATTACAATGGAACATTCTTAGATGGAACCCTATTTGATTCAAGGTATGCAGCTGTGTTGTGTGTGTGTGTATCTTAATAGGTATCTCACAATCATTTACTCCCCTTTCACCAGTGTAACAATTAATGCCCAGTGCCCAGAAACACAGGAAATGAAAGCTAGCATCATATGTCTGTTAGTAATTTATTCAGGGATTATAGGATAGCAGTACTGACTAAAACCAACAAAACTGTACATTATTTCTAAATGGGCATTACGAACACAGATGCTTTTTTTTAATTTTAAAGTCTGTATTTATATTACTGTTTATTGCAGTCAAAGTCTCTGTAACCACTGCAGCATCGATACAGGTTAGATACAAGTTTTATAAGCTAAGCAGAGTTTGTAATGAAATCAAACTACCAACACTTTCCTACTGAGATTTTAAGTGTACTGTGTGTATTTTGTCAGAGCTCAGTGGAAAATGGTACTTTAATAACAGCTACCATTGTATTTGTGAGTGACTTTTCAAAGCCCCTGTTAGGTTCCTGACATAGCTAAGCTCTCTGGGAAACTCTGCCCACCCAGCCCTCGGTAAAGGAAGGACCAATACTTTTGGAGTAGCTCGTTGTGAGTTACATTGTGGATTTAAAGATTGATTTTGTTCTTTCCTGTGGCTGTCTGACATTTGGTTGTGGGGCTTTTTTTTTTCTCCCTCATTTTTAGCCATAATCGGATGCGGACTTATGATACCTATGTGGGAATTGGATGGCTCATTCCTGGCATGGACCAGGGGCTCTTGGGAATGTGCGTAGGAGAAAAGCGCATTATCACAATACCACCTTTCCTTGCATATGGAGAAGAAGGAGATGGTAAAAGTTATTCCTTTAGTTATTCCTTTTTTTTTTCTCAATCCAAGTGAACCGTATTTTAAAACAAACTCAGCTTTCTATGTTTTAAATTTATGGGCAGCATTATTACCCAGTTCAGACAGACAGAACAAAGTGGTGGAAAGAGAGGTTCAAAATGTGTCATGTACAGGATTGGATTGGTTAGAAAGTACAAGATTTTTAAAAAAATTAAACAGTAAATTGCTTTACAGACATATTGTTGATATAATTGTAGTATTTATATGCTGAAATTGTATTTCAGTTGGGGAATATAATCTGTGATTAATATCTAGTGGAGCCAAAAACTTGGAGACAGGTGACTGCATATTTCTTTCAATGACCACCACAGAAAGCATAAAACTTTTTGGGAAAAAAAAAGGTATTTTTAATTCCAGTTTTGGGTTTTTTTTGCAACCAATGCCTTAGCAATAACTACAAGATGAATTAATTGTTTTGTGAGACTAAGCAGCCTGCAGATCATACAGAGAGGTCCACATTTTAAATGAGGGGGCAGTTAAGGATAGTTTGTGACTCTTCGTTGTATTTTTACTCTGCTCTGATGTTTATGGATGTGTCTGTGGTGTACAAGGTTTCATACGCCTTCCATGGTTTCTTTGCCATTAACTGTGATAGCCATCTCCATAGATAACAAGACTTTGTGAAGTTGTGTTTCAAAATTTTGCCGAGATCTTTAACTCAGTGGTTCTTGGTCAAAGCAACCCACACTGTAATTTGTACATTGATGGGGAAGTAGTTTTTCACTGAGATACTCAATTTGTCCTTCTTCAACTTCCACCACGGGGTCTGTTTTGATATTAACAGGATGGGAGGAGCGGATGCACCAGATTTGTATTCTAATAGTTATTTTGTGCACTTCCACGAAGTGTGTTGGGAATACTGGTAGACCAAACCATACAACTCAGATGGAACTGGTGTGTATTGACTAAGATGGGTGTTGCTGAAGAGACAGCTGTTTTCAGTGAGGCAGTGCCATCACAGTACGAGCAGTGTAAAATTTTTGATTTGGAGAATTGAGTGAAAAACCCGCTGAAACAAAAAATGACTGACTGTAAGCAAATTTGCAGAGAGATCTAGACAAATTAGAGGGCTGGGCAATCACCAACCGTATGAAGTTAAACTGGATTCTGCACCTGGGATGGGGCAGCCCTGGATGTACAGGCAGACTGGTGAACAAGATGCTGGAGAGCAGAAAGGGACCTGGGGTCCTGGCTGATGGCAAATTGAATATGAACAAATATGAGCAAATTGAATAATGTGCCCTGGCAGCTGGGAGGGTCAACCATGTCCTGGGGGCAGTCAGGCAAAGCATCGCCAGCTGGTCAAGTGAGGGGATTGTCCCGCTCTGCTCTGCACTGGGGCAGCCTCACCTTGAGTATTGTGTGCAGTTTGGGGCACCACAATATGTAAGAGAGACATTAAGCTCTTAGAGAGCATCCAAAGGAGGGCAACAAAGATGGTGAAGGGCTTTGAGGGGAAGCTGTATGAGGAGTGGCTGGAGGCATTTGGTCTGTTCAGCCTGGAGAAGAGGAGAACTCAGAGGACGAAACGCAGGTTCAGACTTATTTCAAACCTGAGAAGTGTCCTTGGACAGTCCCAGTGTCTGACTTTGTACGGTACCATTGAGGGGAGACCTCATCGCAGCCTACAACTTCCTCGTGAGGGGAAGAGGAGGGGCAGACACTGATCTCTTCTCTGTGGTGACCAGTGACAGGACCTGAGGGAATGGCCTGAAGCTGTGTCAGGGGAGGTTTAGGTTGGATATTAGGAAGAGGTTCCTCACCCAGAGGGTGGTTGGGCACTGGAACAGGCTCCCCAGGGCAGTAGTCACAGCACCACGCCTGACAGAGTTCGAGAAGCATTTGGACAATACTCTCAGCCACATGGTGTGATTCTTGGGGTGTTCTGTGCTGGGCCAGGAGTTGGACTTCGATGGTCCTAGTGGGTCTGTTCCAACTCAGGATACTCTATGATTCTAATTTATTTTAGAAGGGGAGGTGCTTGATATTTGGCAGTAGGTTACTTTTCTTCAACAAACATGTTTAAGCTTCTGCTAGAACACCTGCTGTTTCTTACCAATTTTTCTACTCTAACACTCTTGTAGGTAAGGAGATTCCTGGCCAAGCTTCCCTCGTCTTTGATGTGGTTTTGCTAGATCTCCATAACCCCAAAGATGGTATCGTTATTGAGAACCAGGTTGTGCCTGAATCTTGTGAGCGGAGAAGCCAGACAGGAGACTTTCTCCGATACCATTACAATGGCACACTTTTGGATGGCACGTTATTTGATTCCAGGTAACCAAACCATTCAGCTCTACAGATTGCATTTCCAGTTTGGACTCTTCCGTCTTGTCCATAATATACCCAAATACAATTCTTTGCTTTTCCTTCCTTTTTGAAAATTTTGGGCGGACTTGGAGTCTTCTTAAAAAACTCATAGAAAACTTTTCCCTATGAGAGGAAAAAGAACTAGTTTGGACTATGACAGTGTCACAGGCGCCATCTAGGGGCGGTAACCCCCCGGTGAAGCCATGAGTGCTTTGGGCATGAGAGCCTGAAGGCTCTTTGCTCTTCAGAGTTTATCTGCCAAATAGGTAATACCACTGAAGAGAGAGAAAATAAATATGATACCCATTTTATGTCCTGAAAATTGTGAATCAGTGTGCTAGTGGCTAGTTTGAGGTTAGTTGTATTTGTACTTGAAAACTGTTTGCATTTTGAAGGCTGCTGTCTTTCAAGACTGAATTATAGAACCACAGAATTCAACAAGAGGGTTTCTGTGATAAAGGAATAGGGATTACTTTCACAATAAATTCAAAGCTCTCTGGGCACATGAGCCTTGTGTACAGAATCATATGATGAATAATACTGTTGTAGCTTTCTGTCACTTTTGTTACTCTTAATTGAGCAGTGCTTTACTATCCCACTCCAGCTTTCAGAACAGCTGGCAGAAGTAGCTAAAAGGAGATGAAAATGAGCCAATGTAAATGTTTTATGAAATAAACTCATGGAAAAATGTTTAGTACTACAACAGCAGCCGTCGCTGTAGACCTTGATTTGCAGCTTATGAAAGCTTGTAAGTTAAGAGCCTAAATCTTGTCCACAATGCACCCACCCAGAATCTTTCTTTTTTGAGATGTAAATGAGTACTGTCTATAGTAATTAAACAAATTTTGAAAATAGCTGTATTACTTATATTAGGGTTGTTGTCAATAAATAGTAATAAGTGCTTTGTAGACAGCAGCCTCTACATCATTCTGGATTGCTGACAGTTGTTAGAGGGCACATTCATTAGAGCATCGTATCCTGACCTTCTGCAGAATTCAAAGATGAAGAAATAGAGCAGCTAACAATAGTTACTGGAAACCCTGGAGTTAGTTATCCAGGAGAAAATTTGTTACTAGTACGGGGAATATGCCAAAAGCACTGTGAATGGCTGGTTTTCAGAGCTCTAATAATATTTTCCTTTGCTTTTTTGCTCCGAAATATTCAGCTGCAGAACTGCCCCTGGGTAACTCAGCCAAGGCTGTCTTCTGGACTTAGAGCAGTTGAATAAACCTCTGAATTATATCAGAGTCTGGTCTTGTACTGGTCTTGTTCTTTCTCAGAACTACCTTGTAAAGATTAATTGAAACCTTTCTGCCTTTTCTTCGTTGGGCTGTGCCTTTATGTAACATGCCTTGAAGAAAGGCAGAAGACAGTCATGTCCTTGTAATAAGCATCAATTGCCATTGTAGCCTTGTTTTATTCTATCATTAGGTGTTGTAGCAGGTCCTTCAACCTACATATAAGTGGTTGACATGGTTTGGGAAGGAGGGATAATGTTGATAATGCTTTGTTGTAGTGACTCATTTTAATGTTGTGCATCCCAGAAGAATTTATTTGTCCCACCTGCTCCTTGTAGTAGTTGAACTGCATAGCTGTGGTTGTGAAATGAGGTAGTTTGAAGGATGTCTCATGAGAATGAACGTCAGCCGTATCTAGTTGATAAGTATTTATTAAAGTAGTGTCAGGGCAGAGGAAATTTTAAAGAAGAAAACTAATTTTTTTTTTAGTTACTTGTCAAAACTTGTTTTGTGCTTAGTCTAAAATACATAAATAAGTGTGATTTTTCTTTCAATATATAGTAGAAATGAATTTGCAAATTTGCTAGCTGTTCTCTAGCTAGGGTCCCACTACTGGGTAATAAGTGACACGTGTCACTGGCTGATGAAACCTGGTGGCCTGGATTCGTGGAACATGGTGATTGCTTTGTTCTTCTCTGGTGCTGGTTAATGACCGTGTGTTTTGACCTTAACTGGTTTAAGAACTGTGTTGCAGAGCTATTGCAAGATTCCATGTTTTCTGGAGTACCCCTGACAGTGCTAAAATGCAAATATTTTCCATAGTTATTCACGAAACCATACGTATGACACCTATGTCGGGAAAGGTTACGTCATTGCTGGAATGGATGAAGGTTTGCTAGGTGTGTGCACTGGTGAAAAAAGAAGAATAATAATCCCCCCTCATCTTGGATATGGAGAAGAAGGAAGAGGTGAGCTTGAATTTGCTTTCAAGTCTTCCATAGTTAATGAGGTTTTCTTTATTGTTTAGTCCATCTGTGTCTGTTTTCATTTTTCTGGCATTTTAAAAGTTTATGAATTAGTTCATTATTTTGTGGACATAAAACTGACAAGACTACACCCAGAATATGCAGAATTATTTTAATTAGCTCAATAGGTAGGACAATAAGAATACAGAACAATCTCACATGTAATTGGTAGCCTGAGCTCATTTGAATAGTTGGTGTTTCAAACAGACTGGTACTTGCTGACCGGAATTTGTTTGGATAATTATTGTCTCAGGCAGATTGGTACTTGGGTGCCAGGAGCTCTGCACTGTGAGATCTTCCCACCTGTGTGTCTTAAGCTCTGTATTCTGAAGGAGTTCATCCTGTTTTCTTCCCCATTCCTTCCACAGCCACAGGTTTTGTGGAACTTCTAAGCCGCCTCTGTAAATGGTGGATGCATGTAACAACGAAGTATCTGTGTATGTATAACATACAATTAACATTCTTTTGGGAAAACTCATTAGTACCTAAAAGGATTGCTGTGAGAGGTTGAATATGATAACCCTTCTAGCCAACATGGTGTTATGGCTGGTGTTTCAAGAGGTGGCTTCTGGGATATTATTTGGATAAGTGCCTTAAAAGAAAAGCCTATTTTCTGGGACTGCAAAGTCTGTACTGTTGATTTGAGAATTAGACTCCTTACCAACAAACCCCATTCCTGGGTCTGGATGTATCTGTCAGTTTTGGTAGTGCAATTACACATAATCCTGGGGAGGCAGGGAATAAGTTGCCTCTTATCAGGACATTTTAAGGAAATTTAACTTTTCAGATATAATGACATTCTTTGAAGCACGAGAACTCCTATGAGAATTTTGATGATCAATACTGAATTAGTACGTCAAAGATAGATGAGTTATTTAGGATGGTCACAGGAAATGTGTGATTATTGCTTCATTTCTGCATAATTTTCGATTTCAGAATAATGAACATTTTTTCCTTCACTGTTGAACTTCGGAGTGCATGTTTAGTGCTTTCCCACTGGTTCTCTTTCCTACACAGGATGCAGCTTGCATTCTGTTGCATCTTTTAATTCTGAGTGAGAAGAGCAGAATGACTCAGTAACAGATGCAGCAGGAATACATATTCTTACAGGGTGCAGTACCTGGTCATCATAAGCCTGTTGGGGTACCGTTTCTTTCTCTATTTACCTAAGTTGTTTCCTATTTAGGAAAGATTCCAGGATCTGCAGTGCTGGTCTTTGACATCCACGTGGTTGACTTCCACAACCCTTCAGATTCTGTGGGCATTACTGTTAACTACAGACCTTCCAACTGCACTGTACTAAGTAAGAAGGGAGATTACTTGAAATATCACTACAATGCTTCGCTCCTGGATGGTACTTTGCTAGACTCGACGTAAGTATTTGAATGATCTGGTAAGGAAAATATTCCCAGCAGCTGTAAAAGCAGAATGAATTGCCTGCAAAGCAAGCTGTCAGGGAGTAAAGACTTTTTAAGAAAAAAAGTAAGTATTTATATAGAATGTATTTTTCTTTTTATGTCTGCCTGCCTAAGATGTATAGGAGGAGGAAAAGAAAAAGGCAATCTGTCATAGCATAATAAGAGAACTGGGAACAAAAAGGACGTGGGAGTGTGCTGGAGAAGAACATAAACAGTATGTGTGGAGTGATGAAACAGTTTGTCTGCATAGCATTCTGTTTAAATGGGCTAATTCAGGTGTCTGGACTGGTAATGCCAGGACAACACAGGGCTTGTTATGGATGAGCTGTCCTGGTTTATTCAGTGTTTTGGTAGGATTTTCACTCTGTGCTGATTCAGTGCTTCTGAGAGAGGTCTGATCAGGCTGCTTGGTGTGGTCTTATTAAAGATGTCTTGTGTGTGGTTTATAGTAGATAGTCACCTGTCATGTCTGTACTGCACGTGGGTGCTGATTCTTCTGTACTGTGGTGCTGTGTTGTCAGCATGGAGAAACTGTCAGAGGGCTTGATCATGATGGTGATGATAATGTTCCTCTTCCTCCTGCCTGTTGACAGTGGGTTTATGATGGAAGCAAGAGGTTGCTCCAGTCTGTCTCCTGTAGAACTGAAGTGAGCCTGTGACAGTGTTTGCTGCAGCTGCAAGAATACTTCTGCTAGCTTTTTTTTCCCCCTTCGTCTTTTGGATAGCTCAAGTCGTCCGAATAATATTTTATTTTTTGGAAGGGAAGTTGGGAAAAACTATTTTTAGCTAGGTTATAATTAACACAGGAATCAGCTCATAGGTTTCACAGGATACACAATAGTTTGCAGAGCTGAAAAGCTGCCTTAGATTGGTGCACATGATGCAGTGCTGTAGGCAAGTATGTATACAAGTAATGTGTTTGGATTCAAAACACCTTTTATGTGACAGGAAGGCTGAATTCCCATTTTGTAGCAGGAACCAAGCGACACTGAGACTTATTCAAAGCAGTTTATCAAAGATCATGAGTCATGTGCTCCTAATTTTAAGGCTGACCTCGTAGCCACTGAATTGTTTTCTTTCCAAATGATACTCTGTTATACAAGCATGTCCTGCAGAGGCACAGCCAAGACAAATAACCAAAGAAAGGAGACCAACAGAATAAAGTCTCAACGCTGCACACTTTGCTTTTAGAATCACAATACATGTTGAACTTCTGGGCTTTTAACTTGTGATAATTTCTGGTTTTAGAAATGAGCCACACTCAGCAGGGTATAATTCAAAATTTAATATGAGTAAATAGCAGCAGTAGTAGTATTCTTCCAGGCTGTTTTGGTTAAGTTAATACGTTACAGTGACTGATTTCATTTAAAGGGATAGCTGATCTATGGGAATGCACCCAGATCCCCATATAGGAGTGATGGATATGGGTCAGATGTACATCTGGAATTTTTACATCTGCCAAAAAGTCCAACTGCAGTAGTTAAAAACATGTGAAAGGCAAAAGCCCTATCTTCAAGATAAAATGCCTTGGGGTGTAATTGGCATGATTAATGATTCTAATTGGATTTCATTAAAGAAGCCTATAATTTTAGTGCCAGAGGACATGTCAGCAGCAGGGACATGTCTGTTTGGTGCTGGCTGTAACTCGAGAACAACTTCAGGTAACTTTTTGGTAGAACAGAGCATTTGCCATGAAGTTAATTTTTGGCAGTGACAGGACACTAATTAGAAGTTTTTGTGGTAATTTTGAACAACAGAAATTCTGTGTGTTGAGGGTGTTTTTTAATTCTTCTTTCCTTCCTCTCTAGACACAGCCTTGGCAAGACTTACAACATAGTTCTTGGGTCTGGACAGGTAGTAGTGGGGATGGACATGGGCCTTCAAGACATGTGTGTCGGGGAACGACGAACAGTTGTTATTCCACCTCATCTTGGTTATGGAGAAGATGGAGTTGGTAAGTGCACATCCACTTAGCACCCCTTGGGTAAATGAAACATGAGTATGCATGTTTTGTTACTTCGTGTGTACTAGGTCCTAAGGTGAGTGTGTCTTAGCTGCTTGAATGGGATTTTTTTAGAGATTTTTCATTTCATTGTTTTAGACACTCCCCCCCCATCCCATTCCCCAATGGAATGAACATACTGTCTGTTTTTGGAGTCATGCTGTTGCTGTGGCCAACAGAAAGACCATCACAGTACAAAAGGGAACACATGCCCCCAGTAATGTTGCTTTGTCAGAACAGAAAGCTCCAGGCAGTCTGGTGTTGCAGAGGGATGTAAACGCTGTTCTCCATGATAGGGAGCTGGGTGCTCGCATTTGGACATGCCACATGTTATTCAGAAACAAAACTGAAGGGGGCTGGTCAGCACTAATATGTTGGGAAATTCAAAGAAAACTCAAAATTTGGAAACTACGTGAACTGAATGTAGGATGTGAAACAGTGTATTGGTGCTGTTGAAACCCCAACACCAATACATTTTAAGGAAACTTTAGAGCATTGAGGCTTGTTGATTTTTAATGACAGGGACAGCAGTAATAAAAAGAACAATGCAGAAGTGATAAGGACTTTCATGTCCCAGTGTGTGTTGTTGTTACTCATCTTCCAAGTTAAAAGACTTGATGGAAAGGACTCTAAGAGGAGGTCATCAAGATCAACAAATTCTGATGTATATGGAAACATTAAGTTGTTCTGGTCTTCGAATAGCTCCAGAACAGTTTGTAGTTTATAAAGACTGTAGGGCATCATGTACCACACTGAAAGGAGAATTAATTTGTGTTAAGAGATAAGAATTTCCACTAAGTGCATTTCCATTAAAAATTAAAAGTATTATATATACAACATTTTGTACATAATTTTATCTATTATATAAAAGTGCATAGTTATATATAATAAATTGAAAATTTCCTCATAACATAAAAAGTCTACTGTGTTTAATACCTGTCATAGGTATCTACCATTGTTCAAGTTACATTTGATAAGCATGGTCTGAAACATTGCATGAGTGTTTTGGTATATACCTGGCTCTCTGAGAGATTGCTTGTTTGCAGTCTCTTGCAAATAGAAGATTAGAGGTGACCTTGACTTTTCTTTTTCAAGGATAAATTAAACTCCTTCTGTGGTTTCTTTGAGGTAACATCCCAAGCTGTTGCAACTCTGTTGAATCTCACAGGAGTACACCGTGTATCTGCTAGATAAAGGAAAATTGATTTATTCCCACAGTTTTAGTTTTATAAGTAAAAAAATTGATGCAGTTTTATTATGAAAGCTTTCTTTATGTTTTGATCACCTCCCTGAAGTGAGCAGGAAGATTTGATGGGCTCGGGATCACAGAAGAGAAGTGCCTGTTGGAGCGGGAAGATAAATTTAATTATAGATTAAAAGGAAATATACCCTTTAATGTAAGTGAGGACAAATACCCATCTTTGACGTTTTTTTGTGACAGAAGGAGAAGTGCCTGGTAGTGCTGTATTAGTTTTCGACATTGAACTGCTGGAACTGGTGTCTGGCTTGCCTGAAGGGTACATGTTTGTATGGAATGGGGAAGTCTCTCCCAATCTTTTTGAAGAAATAGACCAGAATCATGATGGAGAGGTTCTTTTGGAGGAGGTAAGCTGAAACAATGAAAACACCTGCAGTGGTTTTCTCCTACCACTATCATCAAGATGTTTTCTCTTACCGTCATCAATGCAGATGTTGAAGAAGGGGGTCTCTCCTCTTCTCTTCTTCTGACATGGTGTTGTCAAGTTAACAGGGAGGCAGCATGTCAGTTATAACATGGTTATTTTGCTTTAGAAATAGAACCAGAAAGAATCAGATCCTTAGGACACAAGTGTAAGAGGCGGAGTTGGTATCCAACAATCCTTCACTGTATCAACCTTCTCAGTGGCCATTAATTGGCAGTTTGAGATGAATTCCTGAGCCAAATCTGAGCCTGCAGCAGTATATCCAGGAACTGTCTAATCACTTCTGGAGCCTGACAATGCCTGCAGTTGCTCCTTCCATGGGTGAATTGTGTGCTTGTCAGTGGGTGCCCTACTTGAGGGCTCTTTGCCTTTGCCACACCATCTCTGATAATATAAACCTCTGTGAGGTTTTCCTCTGCATTTTAACTCAGGAGTTCTATTTTTTTCATTCTCTTCTTAAGTCTTCTTTGTCACCTTTCTCTGTCATTCTGTTTTGTGTCTTTCCTCTCTGGAGTAGAGCTGCCTGCAGCGCTCAAGGGGCAGGTTGTGGCCCTGTGGAACAGCATGAGATGCCTTTGACGATTTTAACAAGCTAATGGGGTAAAATCAAAATCTTGTTTTCCCTTTTTCTAGCACTGTCTTCCACCTCTTTGTTTTACTTCCATCTCCACTTCTGTTCTTGCAGAGAACAGAAGAGCTTTTACTGGTTTAGAGAATGAGGTAGTATGTGGCTTTTGCTATCAACATCCTTCTGGTCACCTAGTGGGGAGGAGAAGGAGAAGCCAAGGAGATATGAGAGGATGCTTGGCTTAAAAGGTGTAAATGAATTTCAGCAATAGCTCTCATTGCTGAAGCTCATTTAACAAGTAGCACCAGAGATAACAGTAATTGGGAAAGTTGTGTTTGTCTTTCTGGTTTTGGCAAGCCAGCAGTATGAATTCAGTCAGATGTTGTATCACCTTTAGTATCACCTTTAACAGCTTCATCATACATACTGGGAGAGAGGTCTTTAGGGAAAACTGACCTTACAACCTTCCCCACAGAGGAGTCAAGTGGAAGACATAATGCCTGAAGCTATTTTAACAAATCTCACGGTATCCTGATATTTAAAGTCTCATTTCTGTGTTTCATTCTTTTTGTCTTGTGTGTTGCTTCTTGTAAAATGTGGGCGTATGTCTGTAAGCTTCATGTATTGGCATGCAAAACTACACTCTCTGGAGTGACTAAACCTCCTGTGTCTGTCCTAATTAGTCCAGTTTAGGTGGCAAAATTTATAGGGTAGTAAGAGTGTACTTCTACGTACATCTAATAAAATTGTAAAATGCTGGATAGTCGATGACAAATAAATGCTACTTTTGACATACTCTTCAGTTTTAAATGTCCATTTAATTGTGAGCTGTTTTCTTCTCTTTTCCCTCTGCTTAGTTTTCAGAGTACATCCAAGCTCAAGTTGATTCTGGCAAAGGAAAACTAGCTCCTGGTTTTGATTTTGAGAAGATTGTTAAAAATATGTTCACCAATCAAGACCGGGATGGAAATGGTAAAGTTACTGCTGAAGAATTCAAGTTGAAAGATCAGGAGGCCAAAGAGGAACACGATGAACTGTAAAGATAAGAAAAAAAGAAGAGTCCTGAGCTGACCTACTGTTTGAACATGTGTACTGGAAGGGGTTTTGGCAAGCATGGTTCTGGAAGGATAGCCTGGGTCTGCCTGTGCTGAGGTGTGGGTAGGCTCTTAAAATAGGAAGAGATTTTCAGTTGGAACTGTTAGGTATATCTGAAGAAAGTGTTAAGTGCCTCAAGGTAGGATGTATAAACAGGTAGAGTGTACAGCCATATGTGGTGTCATGATCCACGTGATCTGTTTTTATGCTAAAGATCAGAAGTTCTCATTGAACAATACACGGTCACTTGGATGGATGGTAGAGAGAAAACTTACCAAGTGCTTTTAAAAGAGTTTTTAAAAACCTGCTGTATCAGAAATGCTTGTGCAGGAGAATGAACCAAAATATTCCCCATGAAAACAACCTGTAAAAGTTGTTAGCTGTTGATCCCAGTTCCTTTCAGAAGGCTTGAACACTCTTTCCAGTAACTGAACAAACTCACATGGATATTTGCCAGCAGAAAATCTGATTTGCAAATTGCAGAACGTGCAAGCGATGGCTGTGCCATTGCAAAATTTCCATAAGCTGTGAATTAAATTAAACAGGCCTAAAAGCAATACTGTGTATGTGTTGGGTTTTTACCTCACAGAATAAAAGTTTTCTTCCATCTGTATTGTATTGAATTAGTAACCTTGTCTCTTGCTGGCCAGGGTTCCCATCAGTGATTCCAAAACCTTTCCAGTTGCAATCCTATTTATAGTTTGGTTAGACATTAAATATTAGTATTACAAGTCCAAGTGCTGTCATAAATACTGGATACAGTTGATTTTGTGTGGGGCTTCTGTCTCCTATTTTGGGAATTGCTAGACTAAGGAGTAAGTGCTTAGAGCTTAAGCAGCAGAGCAGTCTGCAGTGGCAAACAAACAGACAGACAGTGATAAAATCAAGAAATAGGCCCATCTGTTTGTGTGTGCAAACATTCTGACCTATCCCTCAACACAGAGTCAGCCCTGAGAGTGCTGTTTAGATTGTGTGAGCTCTTGAGACAGTCACCCGTTAGCTCGATAAATGGAGCAGAGCTGCTTAGCACTGAATACCCCTAACACACATTTTTTGGAAGGCCGTGTGATTCCCCTCAGTACACTGCATGTAAAGTGCACAAATACGTATAGCGAGACACTGTCAAAGAGGAGTAGGAAGGGAGTTGTGTTTCCATTATATGCTTTGTGTCTAGTTTCTTGCTTTCCTTGGTCTGTACATGTGGGATGTAAGCTTCCTGAGATGCTCTTTCTAAAAGCTGGTATTTCAGTTGGATGAAAACATTTTGTATTGGTTTTTAATGCAGTTCTTACAGAAAGTGCAGTGAAATATTTTTTTGAGTTTGATACCATTAAATGTTGGATAACTGATCTTTTTGTTAAATAAAATTTCTATCAACTGCTACATTTTCCTTTCTGGCATTTTGGTGGGTTGGGATCTTGAGTTGAAGCAAATACCCTTCCTGCAGCTCTCTTCTCTTGCATGCAGCAGGCTTATCCTAAATATGTTCAAATTTGCTATTCATCTTCAGGAAAAATATTTTAAACTAAGATTATGGGTTCTACGTTTGATTCAAAATTATAAAAAATAATAGACCACTATTAAAGACTTTTTTTTTCGTACCTCACACAGGTGAAATGGCTTTAGGAGGCATTTGCTAAATTCCCCATCCCATATTACCATTGGCTGTGACAGCTGGGAGGGTGATGGGGACTCCAAGTCTTTCACTGAATGCAATTGTCTTACGTAGAAAACAGCATTTCATTCCCCAGTCTAGCAAAAGCAAACTCACTGAGCTGTGTATGTGAGGTTTGATGTTTTCACTTCATCTGTAGCTCAAAACCCACATGTATTGTGTGTAAAATACTGGAAGTCTGGTCTGATTTGGGCTTGATGTAAATACAGGCTCTTTATAGCAGATGTAAAAATGGTGGATATCGGTGACTGGTACTTGGAATCAAAAGGTTTATGTCATGAATGGCTCCTCAGAAGCTTCACTGTCTTGTGAAAGCAGCTTCCTCAGAAGACTGTTGCACACATTTTTCCCTTTTGTTTTATTGGGAAGCAAGTTGCTCACTTTTTGCTGTGATTCAGGTGCATTGCTTCTCCATCCTGACAGAGCTGAGAGGAGTGGGAAGCAAGTTGTGATGTGAGTGCTGCCAGAAGCAGTTCCCAGTGTGGAAACAGCTCCTTATCCTTACTGTGTTCTCATACATACCCCCAAAAAACCAAGTCTGTCTTCTGGGTATGTCCCCTCCTTTTGTGAGTTTGGAACTTCTTGATCTTTACAGTTCCTTCCAACCCAGACCATTCTGATTCTGTGATATACTGAACTGTTTTGTCTGAAAAAATCTTAGCGAATGGACCCAATCTTTCTACACAGAGGAACATTCCAGGTGGTGGGCTGAAGAGTTCCCAGTAAACCAGGATAACAGAGTTGTCCTCCAGGGCAGATGCAAGGCAAAGAGCAGCACCAAAATGCAGGCAGTTGGTAATCCCAAAGATCGCTGTGCTGGATTTATTTGGAAGTGATGGGATAGCAGGGATGACTTTACCAGTGCCTCCAGCTAGGGTAAGTACATCTGAAATTCTCATTCCATTGCTTCTTAGGCCTTAGCAAACATGGCTTGTGATCCATCTAAAGATGTTTTTCTGTCTAGAGGAAGTATTTGTTGCCCACTCACCTCATCCCCTCCAAGTCTGGAGGTTGCCATTTTGGAAATAAGAATGCAGCTTTGGGGAAAATCAGAGAATATAAGGAAAAAGTTGCTGCAAAATAATTGTGTTTATACTGGGCATTGCCCAGACAAAGGCAACAGAAACCAGGTCTGTCTGGCTGCGTTAGGCTAAACTGCATAAAATCCAGAATTTCTGACTACTAACATAGACCCAATCGTTTCCTTTCTGTTGGTAGCTATTTGCTTTTCCCTCTAGGGAAAGCTCAGGGCCACCTTCCTGAGAAAAGGCTTGTGCTTGTGTTGAATCTTCTACCCATTGCTTTTCAGGGTGTGTGGCAGCCCCCTAAAAGTGAGGGCAGTCTGCCTGCCCGTTCACCAAACCAGAGCCTGGAGGGCTGGCAGGGAAGCTGGCTGGGAAGTGAAATTGTGCTGGTGTGGACTGGGAGAGCTCAGCACAGCCCTTGCATGTGCAGCTCCATTAACAGATAAATCCCTCTGAGTCACCAACCTGTTAGAGAGGGCGGCCTGTGAGGAATATGGATATATGGTAAATATTTTCTACCTCAAAATGTAACATATTTTTTTTCAGGTGAAAGTAGCAATTTATAAATTATCTATTTGTATCTATTTATCTATTTAGAAGTTATCTGTTTGTTTAGAATTTATCTACTTATGTAGCATTTAGAATTTATTTAATATTTAGAATTTATCTATTAGTATTTATTATCTACTAGTATTTAGAACTTATCTATTTAGAACTTATCTATGGAATGTATCTTTTTAGAATTTATTTATTTAATTAGTATCTAGATACTTTTTCACATACTTAACTAACTTTAGAAAAATAGATCATAACTCTTAAGCATCATTAATAGCCAGATGTAACTAGCTGGTTAAGCTAATGAGGGGCTCTCTAGAACTCAGAACGCTGCTACTCCTCTAAAGAAACAGGCAGGTGCTAATCTCAGAGCTGGGCAGCTGACTGCTGTTAGAAAAGGAAGTTGCTGGCAGCCAGGGTTGGCAATTGCCAACTGAATTGTCTGAGGCTCAGTGCAAAAGAAAAGGAACCTGTGTGTGAACCATGAAAAATCCAGGTATTTATAATTTTTTTTTCTGTCCTAATTTGATAACAATATTTTCTGCTGTAAAATCCCACCTATGCCAAGTATATGAGAAATTTTGCTTAAATCAGAGTTTGCAGTTGTTGAACTTGAATGTTATTTTTTTTCTGTGTGAAAAATATTCAGATTTTCCTTTAAGCTTAAAAAAGGCATATTTAGCTAGTACTGAGTGCAAGTTTTTGGCTCAGTTCAGGACTATTAGTGTGTGTTTGACAGTAAGAGGACATTTGAGCTGGCTGCAACACCCACTCAAGAGGAGGAATCATTTTCAGCTAAATAAAGGTCCCAAATACTTGACCTTGGACATGTGCTACAGACAGAACAGATATTGTGAGTAGGGGAAGAAAGAAAAGTAACAAATTCACTTAACTTTGCTTATTCCTTGCTTTAAAGTTATGATATACTCTTTTGGCTGTGGGAAAATGGTCTGGGAAATGTATGATACCTTTCTTTCCAAACTAAATCATAAATGAAATACACTTTTAGGGTGGCAAAATGTTTCTGGTTAGAAATTTGATTTAGAAAGACATACTGTGAATAGTATCTTTCCTAATACTGAGTGGAGAATCTCAATAGTACTTACAAGAATTAGACTTGCTGGAGTAGGATGGTTTAACCTGTAACTGTAGTGTTAATTTTGCTTGCAGTTAATTTTGTTCATGGCTTTGGAGAGGTGACTGATAACATAGATTCTTCTATTAGCCAGTAGTCCAGTGACAAAAAGGTGGGATTTTGATCAAGTGAGGATATCTAAAAATGCATCTTGTGTTTTCCCTTAACTACCACATAAGCATGAGTTGTGGCTGGCAATGAGATGTGAGGATATTGATAATCTGTACAGCACCATGCAGGTTTTTAAAATCTGACCTCCTGTTTCAGGTTGATTGTGTAAGTAACTATTTCTTCTAGAAAGCTGTATTATGGCCTTTCAAAAAGTAAATTATTTGGCATGGAAATACCCTTTGTGCAGCAAATGGGTTCTGTGGGGTAACTGCAACATGGCTTAGTTGCTCTTATGTCCTAGCAAAGGTTTACTGCTCTGGCAGTTACTTAACATAGGACCTGAGACTGACAGGACTTACTGATAGAAGGAGAAAAGCATGCTGGAGATCTTAACTTACCTGCCTCCTCTTGTAAGGACAAGAATCCTTTTCTTTAAGTGGTTGTCATTGTGGACTGAACATTTGGTGACTGACTAATCATTGTCCACCTGCTTGGAGGTGAGATTGGAAAATCTTCCTTACATAATGCTTGAAAGATGGTGGTTTGATCTGAAATCTTCTACCAAGGCAAAGAGTTTTAGGTGTCCCTGTAGATGAGAAACCAACTGCTCCCTTCTGCTGTGTGTGGGCTCTCTAGGTAGGCTGAATACTAATTTTAATAACTTGGATTAAGATGTAGTTGGACATCTAGTTTGGTAACTGCTTTTAAAGATGCTGCCTAATCCTTTTCTATGTTGCTCTGCATGTGCTTTTCTGTGAGGTTTCGTTTGATTTACTTTTGTGGGTTTTGTTCATTTGTTTGTTTCTTTTGGTTAGGGGTTTGTGTTTGGTTTTTTTTTTTTTTCAATTGTGGGTTAAAGAATAAGATCTTCATAACAGTAAAGGCGTGATGGCTCACTCACCTGTTGGGTAAGGCTGAGGAAAAATTCTGGAGGGAGAATCAATGAGTTTATGTGTATTCTCAGGCAAGGTTGATTGAAAACATGGGACAGTCTTCCCCTCTCAGAAACAGTATACAAAGAGACCAGAATTGCCCCCCTTCTTTTCACTGATGCTGGGGTGGTCAGGGAAATCCATTCCACTTGTAGCTCAGAATGATCTTGTGCTAGAGTGTGTGTTGCTGACACATCTCTTGCTGTGGAGCTGTGACTATCAGCTACACTTCACACATTCTAAATTTTAACTGTTATCTGTATTCCAAAGATAAGCTGCTTGTAAATGGAAAACTTTATCCCAGTGTAAACTTTAGGAGTATTGCCTGGTAACTAGCCCCTTGCAACTAGAGGCTGGTTGAGTAAGCAGTGCATCCAAACACCTTGGTGTTTTTCAGAAGGCCTTTGCCTTTTGGACTTTTATTTGGCATCTGTGACAAAAGCATGATTGCATGTTTAAAAAAGCACTAAAACCAAGAACCATCAACCCTACTTCCCTGCTTCCAAAACCTTAACATTACCTCAGCTAACGTAAATTCTCTAGGTGCCTAAAACTCCAAATGTAGAATGTTAAAGAAATTGCTGAGCTCCCCTGAAAATGCTGCAGCATTCCCTAAGAACCTTGCTGTGCCCAGGTGGTGCAGACCTGGTTGCTGAGCAGGCAGCTCACACCGATGCCCTGCAGGGAGTCACAGGTAACACTGCCCTGCTTGTCTTGCTGGCGGTGCTGAATCCATAGTGCTGGCAGAAGATGACTGTACTGGAGCCTGCTCCCTTCCTTACAGTTTTGCCATGACCATCCCGTCCTCCTCCCTGCCCGAGGCAAATGGGGGAGACAGGGAGAAAGGCCAGAGACCAGACCAAACTTCACACCCAGTCCCAGTGACTGCTGACTCAGCGGCTGTCACTGCTGCCTTCAAGCTTTCCCTGTTTTTGGCTTTGGCTGACAGGCTCTTGGCAGGCCAGGGCTGAGGCAGCTGCTGCTCCCATCTCCTCCTGTCACTGGTACTGCCAGGATGCTTTCAGCTCTTCCAATCTGCTGCTGCCTGAGTAATGGCTCTGGAATGGAAGACAGCCAAGGTGCTCTCCTCGCCTTGGTTGTCTTACTGGTTTTCTGCTCCAAGGGACAACTTCAAGGCTCCTGCTTCTGGGGCGCCAGCTGCCCCTCTGCCAGGAGCAAGGAATTACGAACATGACTAGATCCTGACAAGGAGGACATTTCCCTCAAACACTCTTTGCCTGTTCAGATGCAGGCTGGAATTTCTAAAAGGTCCCTGCGCTCAGGAGTTCCCTGCTGGCACAGCATGTGCCATGTGTTTGTGTGCTCACAACTACCTCAGATTGCATATCAGGCCTCTACCCTGCATTCAAAATACTGGGGGGATTTAACTTTAGTTTACTGCAGAGGATGCAGAATGGGGTTTGGAAACTATGCCCCTCCTCTTCCTTTCTTGGAAAAGTTCCAGCAGGGATGGTAAGCAGTGTAAATCTGCTGATTTGGAAAAAAAATGAGTGGTGCTACTAAGTCAGAATTTAAATAACAGATCACAGGTTGGAGGGAAAGAGTCCATTTCTTGAGATGTGTGTTACTTCTGGTGGGGAGAATGCAGATCTAGGCTCTCCCACGTTTTCATTACAACTCCTCAGGGAATGGAAGATGGCACAGCTGTGAATGAAAAAAGGGGAACAATGACTATATTGCACATTAGGGAAGTTGTATGATTGCCTCTATTTTATTAATGAATAGATTTAGTACAGCTGAGACCTCATAGGACCAGGGTCACAACATCATCTTTTACTTATCCTGCAACATATCCAAGTAAGCTTCCAAAGCTGTGGTGGTATTAAGCTGTACCTTTCTGTACACAATGCTGAGAGGTGCTGCTCAGTACAGGGGAAATACTTTCTGAAGAAGAGTGTGGTGAAACACTGTCAGAGGTTGCCCAGAGAGGTGGTAGATGCCCCATCCTTGGAAACATTCCAGGTCAGGCTGGATGGGGCTCTGAGCAACCTGATCGACTTGTAGATGTCCCTGCTGAGTGCAGGGAGGCTGTGTACTATTAGCTTGTGAAACGATCTGTTGTTACAAAGATGAGAAATTTTATCTCAGATATACTAACTTAAAACATTCTTCCCATTTCACAGACAATAAGAAACAGTAAGGATAGAGAATTTTTTCTAATGATACAAAAATCTGTGAAGAAGAAACACTCTGCCCGAATTGGGTGAATAAAGCATTTTTACTGGAGAAGAATATATGTATGAAAAACTTCTGTGAAAGTATGTAGCATATGAATAAGATCCTTCAAAGTACAGCTGAGACTGAAATGTCTTCTTTGAAAAGAAAAGGCAACACAAACGCGCACACTGCTTGTTCACAGAGTGTTTAACACCTTCAATTTTACAAAATAGCCACATTTTCTAAAATGCTGCTCTGAAATGCCTGATTAAAAAAGACAGTGAACCATACTATCCCATCTGCAGCAGTATATCACATCTCTAAATCCAATTTAAATCTAGTTATAACAGGAGTGTGAGACAATAAAGAACAGTGTAAGAGCAGTAAAAGGAGCTTGTAGTTGACAATTGATACCATATATATTCCAGAATACCAAAATGAAGATAAAAGTTTTAAATTAAATTAAACAGTTCTGTAAATGAGTAATAAACACATCTAAAATAGCACACATGTGCTCTTCTGTCCAGTTGCCTCCTGAAAGGAATGGAGTGACTTGAGACTGCAATTTACAGGATTTTCTGTAGGATGGAGTTGGCAACTTCCAGGGATTCATCTTTCACCAAAACGATATCATAAGAGTCCATATATTTTTCCAGAAGCTCATCTACCTAATTGCAGATGGGATAAAGAGAAAGAATTGATTATTGAAAGACTTTTTGTCATTAAAATATTGCCCAATCCTTCCACCAATTGCAAGGGAATGAGCCATGCAAATAATGTATTGCTCCTACAAGTGAATTCCACAGGAGGACAGAGTAGGAGTGGCCTGACATAGCTTTGCATGCATTCCAGGATATAATACCTCAGATTTATTCCAGGATCTCACACATAAAGATACTGAAAGATAAACTACTTCTTCAGCTTCCCAAAAGACAGGGAGATAGAGAAAACTGGATTTCTTTCTCTCCTGAATGCAAATGGATGTGCATTATAACTTAGCAATTGATCAGTTGTGTGTCACTTAAAAAAAAAAGAGGAGATTCTATATTTGTTATTTGGAAGATCATAATTTTGCTCAAGTATCAACCCAGTATTGAAAGGAGGGGGAGAAGCCACAGGAATTTAAGAGAATTAATTTTTATAGCCTCTGAATTTTACTTCTCTAGGAAATACTTTTTGGTAGCAGTTCAGTACAAAACCCAAAGCAATATACACTTGCGTTTTTGTAGCTTATGTCTTATAAAAAAAAGAAATCCGTGAAAAATATTTGAAGTCTCAAAACAAATATGGGCCAAACGCTTGGTTTGATATCTCAGGCATATTATAATGAACCTATTTCTATCTCCCAGTGTTTCATTTAAAGCTTACAAGGTTATGTAGGGATACTTACTTTATCATTGAGATAGCCAATTTTAAGAATGTTCTCGACATTTGCTACTCCATCTGCCATACTCAGGTCTCCTTGAGAATCACCCAGCAGTATGATATTACTGTTGTCTTTTAGTTGTTTGAAGTACTCTGTGTTCTTCAAGGCACCATCGTGTTTGTTGTAAACATGAATCAATTCTCCTTTAAATCCTTTTAATACTCCCTATTAAAAAAAAGAAATCTGAAGTTATTTCTGGTATCATTCAGGCAAGATAGAATCCTGGAAGGAAATAGGTGATATTACTGTTGAGCTAACACTGAACTATGTAGTCTCTGATGATGAACAAGATAAATTACTGTTAAATAACAAAATGACTGTAACACCATTGTTAGGACTAGACAGACAGCGATTCTCCCTGCTTGGAGGAAGAGGAGGAGCAGCAGAGCTGGGCCAAACGTGAGGCTGCCATTAAAGGAAATAAATGGTATTTTAATCACACCATGCTAACAGTGTTTGAACTGGGATCACCTGCTTCATCTTGGCCTGAGAGAGTGTTGAACATGCAATTCTAAGTTTCTGTATCACAGGGTAGGTGGTTACATCTGCTGCATTTAAATGTTCATCCTGTAATATACATAAATAGCTACTAAATACCACAAACAGTCATGTTTGATAAGAATGTGTTATCTCATACGTACATTTTCATCGAAATCCATGAAATTGGAAACCACTTTGACATTAGAATGGTAGACCCCAGCCTGGTGGATTACTTCCTCAAGAATGTCCCCAATCCCAGCAGAAAATATGAACACAGGAATATTATGTTCACTGAGCTTATCAAAGAAGTTCTCATATCCTTCTCTGCAACACAGAATGTAAATGCAAATCAAATCTCAAATAAAGAAAGCCAAGAACAGTCTGAGTTTTCAGGAGACAGTCACATCATCTTTGGAAAAGATTTAATTTTCTCTGAGCATTTGACTTCATTTTTTTAGGTTTAGCATTTGACTTCACCTTTTTAGGTTAGCAAGAACCATCAACCTAACATAAGGCATATAGTTTTAGTAAGAAACTACTCCATTGAGCTGTTTGGTCTTGTTCTGTATAATTTTTCCCCCAAAAACACCTTATCATTTAAAGACTTAAAAACACTTCCTCCTCCCTAAATACTCCAGAACAAGCAAGCAACTAGTAGAACTCCCTCTAGCTACTATTGGGCTATACCTCCTTTCTATCTTCCTTGCTTAAACATGTGACTTTCTATAGAGTTATTACTATGAAACAAATTTTGTTTTGTTTTTTAAACCCTGAAAACATTTATTGTTCTTCTTTCCTGAAAGTTTTTTAGTGTTCAGTACCCAATCAAGACTATATATAGTATTCCAGGAAGAAGATGATATTATCTCTATACGCTTTCTCCACACAGGCTAGATTGGTAGAATTTTACATTTTAAATAAAATATTGTGAAAGTTTTTGAGGGAATTTTAGCTTGTGAATGAAGATTCAACACACATTGACTTAGGCTTTCAAAAAGGCAGAGACAGGGTGCTTGTCTGTTTACAAAAGATAAGAATTTAGTCAGTATTATAAACAAATAGTTCCACAATTTAAGTTCTAACATCCTGTTACAGTAGTCCAAAATTTACAGGCAGTTTTAGAAAGCTTTCAAAGAGATGGTAGCAACAGCACATTTCTTTCAAAGAAGGATTTTGCTGGTTTTTAAACTTGCCTTCAGCCATAGAGGAAGAGCAATATTTAATAAAACATATGAAACATGCTTTGCAAGTCGCTGCACTTTTATCTCAGATAAAACTATCGAACTGAATGTTTTTCAAAGGAACTAAGTTAAACTCTACATTGCCCTTAAAAAAAATGCCACTAGTGCAATTTAAAGAGGATGAAAGTCTACAGAAACGAAGCTTGTAGTGATGGGACTAAAAAAAGTTTCAGATCTCTGGTGATCACTGTAGGCATTTAGCTACAACATATAATGGGGCACAAAAATAAATAATAAAATAGGAGCACAGAGAGCTCACTGTGTTCCAGGATTAGGGTGTCACATTCTCAGGAATGTGTGTGGTTTTTTGTTTCCTTCCCTTTTTTTCTCCTCCCCTGACCACCCAGTAAGAATCTACAGAAAATGCTCTGAAACAGTATCATTCAAATAAAAAGGAACTTACTTCAGCATAACATCAGATTCCCTCACAATTTCTGCAAACTTATCCTTCTGTAAGCCTTGTTCAATGAGCAGTGCATGAGATTTATGGTACCTCGAATATAAAGAGAAAAATGAGTTGAACTTTGCTACTAAGATTCACCTTTCATTAAATGTTATGATGAAAAGCATCCTGTATGGTTAATTCTTGCTCATTCAAGTTAACGGCAAAACAGAACCAGTTGTTGTACAGCACTTAATGTGATAGCTAGAAGCTAAGTACTGCCATTAATTTGCTTTTAAAAACTTATTAAATCTAATCTTAGTACAATTTGAATATGGGGAGTGTCTCTTACCATTCTACCATATATGGATACTTCTCTTCAATAGTGAGAGCTGGATCGATTTCAATAGCGTAATAGGTTTCTTTCAGCTGCAATAACTGAAAGGGAAAAAAACACCAGATGTTTAATGTATTTTAATCAAATAACACTTGGTATTTGGTGTAACAAATCAAAGTAAGGTTCTTCAGTCAGGGAATAATGACAGTTGTCTGTACAACAAACCAAGTGCTAGTAGGTTTCTTGTTTACCTTTTTCCGACATTCGTCTGTGATGATCTTAGAGTTATCAATGATGTCTGGGGGAAGAGTGAAAAAAAAAGAGGGGTAAACAAGATGGTATGTTTCTTTTACTTTGCTCTACAGCACTGTAAATGGCACAGATGACAGGTTTGATGACATAACAATATGTTTCCTCAGAGCTTTTCTTACCAGCGACCAGTAAAAGGAACATGAAGAAGCCCTTCCCCTCATCTCTGAATTACAAGGCCAATTACAAGCTTTTGTATCTGTTTTTTGAGATTTATCTGTTTCTGAAATCATCCTGAGGCATCCTGAATGTCTTAAAGTTCCCACTTCATCAGTTATTGGATTCTCTTTGTTTGCTCTAAAGGACCGTATACAGCATAGGGATAAAAATGCCAAGAATTCTAAGGAGTTTACTATCTGGTTCTTGCAGGTGTCAAGACTATTACAGGCTCTTAAAAAATAAAAGTCAACCTTACCACATATAGCCATTAACATCTCAGAGTTCAAAACTTAATGCTTTAATTGTGAATAACATCTGATTTTAATTCACACAGATTTTCATTAATATATATATATACACATAAAAACACATACACTAGAATTTTTCTTCATTAGAATGTACAGGTCAGGTAACAAGTCAACAGAAAATCCCATATGTTAGGGAATAAATTGGACAGAAAATTAAAATATGGGAAAAACTAAAAGGAGTGAACAAACCAATCTGTATTAAAAAAAAAAAAAAGTACTCACTATGACAAGTTGGACATCTTTTTCCATTGTAGGAAAATCTACTTAATGTCATATCAAAATCTGTAATAATCTATTTAAGGAAAGAAAAAGCAAAACTGTCTTACAATGTGGAGGGACAAAATAAAGAATGGCTAGAAATTCTGAACGATCAACAATAGCTGCAGCTGAGTAGCATGTGTGCCACAGAAACCTCCCTATTCTATTGAGCCATTGTAATGCAAGCTAGCATATCCCAGAAGAGTAACTTTTTCTAACAAAACTGTTTATTTCATTTCTTTGGTCGGAATATTTCCTGAAATTACTAAGCTTCTATGTTTATGTCATTTACTTATCTAGAGTCTGGCTGAATTACAGTTGATTCAACAAGGACTATTAAAAGATTTCACATGCCTAAGTTCTGGAGATATCTTGAAGGTTGACTTCTGCTTTATATATATATATATACACATACTTAAATTTTTTGGCATACAGCAACAATCACACAGTTGCTTTTATTCCAAACTGGTTACACCTTCTACTATCTTTACCTGAAGTTTGGCAGCTCCACCTTTGATGAGGCCACAAATAATCTCCTCTACTCTCCCTGGGTCCTTAATATGGACAGTCTTCTTCTGGAATTCTGGCATCTATGGAGAGTAAGAACAAAGACATAAACAGTAAGAAGAAGCAGAAAATACTCTGGATGTATTAACTGATGACTGTACACACTTCTGTTTACTTTCAACATCTGTTTTAATTTCCTTTCCCAGTATCAAATTATTCAATATGTTGATACTCATAGAAAAGCATTTAATTAATAATTATATATGTGGGAAATAAGGGACATGTATGGAAGCAGGACAAAAGTGCGCATCTTGGGGTTCAAATATGTCACTGGGAGATGGTGAATCTTAAAACTAACTCTTTGTGCAATTAATATGCCCTTAAAGTCCCAACAGAGATCAAGAAGACAGACTGTTTTTAGACATCCATTTTTTCCTTGAAAATGCTGTGTCAACCAAGTACTCCAACCCAAGGCTGTACAGTAATTCCTGCTCCCTAGCCAGTCCAACCATCATTACATTATCTATTTCTCTGCACACTTTTGAAATAACACATGCTATCACATCACATATCCCTTTTGAATGAAGTATATTTCTTGAATATGATAAATACACGTGGTGTAAAAAAACCCCAAAACCAAACCCCTCCACAAAACAACCTCCCCAAACAACCCCCCAAGCCCTTGCTTACTCTGAAAGTTTATCTTCAACCTTGCAGAAATGGTGAAAGAACTACTTATTTACAAAAATCTCCCAATGTAGCATGCATTTCCATCCTTTAGAATCATGTTTGGACCTATTCTAAAGCAAAGGCATCAGACATTTGCAATCTGTCTACATGGGCATTTAGGAGTAGCAAACTTTATTTTCTGTCAGTAGAACTTCAGACATGACGAAGTGCTAGGAATTACATTTTTAGCACTCTGATCATTCAGCTTTTCTTTTCATATAGCTAGCATGTAATTTTCGCTGCAATGAGCTGATTTAAAAAAAAAAAAGATAAAAAGGGGGTAGCTGCTATTTCCAGCAACATTTCTGGACCCAGAGTTCTTCTATCACCAACTATTAGTAAGTCATGCAGCACTCTTTCTCCCTGCTCTTGATGCTGCTAAGTCTTTTGTTTATTAGTAATAGCCAACTTGAAGCCAAATTGCAATTTGGTTATCATTTAAGAAAAAGATGGCATTTTAAACTATTGCAAACAGTGTGTTACCAGTGCTATGGTAAGAATGATTCAAGTTCAGCTGGTAATGAGCAAATTACTCTTCAAAATTACTCCTAGGTAGAAACAGGTAGTTGTACAAAGTGCTAAATTTTACACTTAATTTTGCTGGATTGTATCTTTTCTTCCATATCAGTGCTCCTATCTTTCAATATAACAAATAATTCTAATCCCCAGTGTGCTTACTGCTACTTTCTGGCTGATATCCTCAAAAACACTACTGAAAACAGAAAACAGAAATCCTTCTAGAATTCTGAGTTTCTGATAAATTTCCAAGGTTTTCCAGCCACTCAAAAAGTTTCACCTATACCAGAGTATCTTATCAAAAATTCTAAAGTCATGACAGAGTATTCACTACTTCTTTGCTTCATAAATCTCCTAAAGAAACAAAGTGGATTCATTTCACTTAGTTTAGAAGAATTGACATTTTCTTTTGCCATCCTATGGCACAGACATTTTCTCTAGAAGTGGTTCCTCCTAAGCCAAGATTGTTGTTCCCTGCGTGGTTGCAGTGCTTTGCTACTACTTGTATTTAGCACAGCAAATTCACAAAAGGTACATTAGGACTGACTTTCAGGTATCACCTACATGCCAGGCTAGGAGTCATTGAGAGAACTGAGTGTTAACAAGAAATAGAATTCCTAAAAAATATCCATTAAAGCATTTGCTAATCTTTCAAGATATACCTTTACAAAGCATTAATAGATATTTATTCACAATTAGCAGCAGATCTAGCTTCACAAAATAATTTATTAATAATCTGTGACTCTTTAAAGGTGTTTTATGGTATTTCTTTTCTATGTTATATGGTGCTGGTAAACAAAAGCAAGCTTACCCCTTGTGCACATACAGCATTCTTTATAATGAAAGATAAAGCAATTTGGCTGCATTAGGTAATTTTTTTACTGTATATTACCTAATCTAATTCCTTTAACTTTCAGCAAACTATATGTGTATTTTTAGATTTGGAATGCAAAAATTAAACAACATGAAATCTAAATGTGTGCTTTTCTAAGAAGCAGTTCAAGCATTATTTGGTTCACTTAGATACTAAGCAACAGATTTCCTAATATAACTAATTTAAACAGATGTTGAGGGAGATGGAGAGATCGGAGGAAGAGATTGTATGAGGAAAGGTGGATTGTTTGGCACTGTTTCATTTCAGGTACTGTTTCACTTCAGACAGAGCCCTTTCGTAAGCTTCTGAAACAACCCGAGGAAAAATCTTGGTAAACACTTCAGTAGATCATGTTAAACAAGAGATTGCTTAAGATTTTAAGTATGATGAAAGCTTCCTGCTTTGATGTTGAAAACTGATACTCCTACTCAAGATCAGTTTATAAGGTTAATTTATCTCCAGTACACTTTTCATTTTTACACAAGAATTGATGTCAGTTGATGCGTTTTTTAATTTAGGAGGGGGAAGTCTTCTGCAGCAATTATAACCCAGACAATTTCTGTCTCACAGGCACTTTCACAGAAAAACCAAGTCTTCATTACAGATGTGGCATCTGATAAAGCCTCAGATAAATATGGTTAGTCAAAATAGCCCCTTTCCTCAATACTAGTTCCTTGTATTAATATTTGCAACTCAACAGTAAGCAGCGATTCTTTTATTTAGTCTTCACCATTATTATAGTAGAAGTAAATGAAACTGTCTAATAGAAGTCTAAACAAACTGCAGTCACCAGTTTTCTGGCAAACTGTCTCAAACTTCATCGTTTTCCACTTCTGCCCAGTCTACCTGTTGTTTCATTGTTGCATATTTGCCATTCTTCACAGTTGAAAGAGAAAAGCAGATTCTAGTTGGAAAGAACTGGTAAGACAGGTGAAAGAACAAAGGGTGAAAAAAATGCTAATAAGAAAAGTTCAGTCAATTTGATAAAATTTGTGTTTCTATTTATAGTTTAAGAAAACTCTAGGAGTCAACTCAGTATACACATAAAAGGCCCCAAAATCTGATGCACTAGTTGATTGGGAAGAACAGCCAAACAAAAATCTCCACAGCACCTAGTGAAGTCAAGAAAGCTTTTCAGAACTAAAGCACAGGAAAAAGAATTCATATTTCATTGTGACATCTGAAAGTACCTCATATTGAATGATTTAAGTGCCTCTATGTATTCTGTCATTTTATGAAAGTGTGAGAAGAGTTTTGCTTTCTTACCAAGGACATCTATATGCTACTGAAATAGCACAGAGGCTGGTGTCTCTTAAAACACATGTTAAAAGGTGACAACTCCCAAAGGTAGTTTGTGGTTGGCATATACACTGGCCACAAAGACATTTAAATTTCTAGTCTCTGACATTTTTAATGAGCCTTTGAAAGAAGGAAGTAGAACAAAACTGAAAAAGATTATTTTAAAGGTTGAGCTTAGTTGGACTTATGAAAAGGAAAAAATGATCTGCTTGTTTGTGACAGCAGGTAACTGGAATAAGGATGCAGGAAATTATTTTGTAGCTAACGATGTTATAGTCATACCTTGAGGAATGAACAGTAATGGATTCACGCAGGTTTGGAAATCTCCCAGTCCTACAAACCACAGAATGCATCATTTTACAACCAGGATAGTTTTGAAAATTACAAGTCTATTTAGTACATGAGACATGCATCTGTGTAGCTGGGTTTAATAAAGTATTTGCTGTAAAGACCCTATTGAATTCTGGTTTTGAAATGAAGTTTCTTATATACAACTGGATAACAGAAGTGCAAAACAGAAGTGCAAATGGAACTGCTTTTATATTGTATCCAGGTGCTGCTTAATATATACGTTGTTTTCTTAGTATGTGAGACGGCCTGGATCTAAGTGCATGCTGTGTCATTTTGATTATAAAACAAGAGCTGGTGATAAGACCTGTCATTCATTTTAGTGATCTAAGTGAATTTACAGCTGCCAGAGCAAACATTTCCAATCAGGTATCCCAGGAAATGAATAACTGATTGCGTGCATAGGGAGTAATGTCATATTCTGGAATTAGGATTATACCGAATTTCTGACTCTACTGAGTGTTGGAGGTAAAGCAGTTACTTCCATCCCCCTATCCAGTAAAACAAGTCTCTATGATTAAAACAAAAAATAGAAAAAAAAATTAAAAATAATGTCAAATAAAGAACTTGATATAAAGGACCAGTGTGGGACCTTCTGTTGTTTTCACTGTCAGTAATTTTAAGTTGGGAAGGATGAGTTGATGAATGACTTGCTATCTTAACTACATAGAGATATGGCTCATTTCACAATCAAATCTAGACACATAACCTGAAATATTACTAGTAATAACTAAAACTGTAGGAGGTTGTCATCATAAGTCTGCTAAGCAATGCTTTGACGAAGGACATAAAACACTGGAGCAGAGTATTTTTATATTGATACCCTGTAAGCTTACACTACTTGGCAAATACGAAGTTTTCTTATTTTACAAAGACTCATCTAGTATGGAAGCCTCCCAAAAATCACTGTGAAGAAAACACCCTGAATTATGAGTGGATAAAATTTTAAGGGAACTTCTCTATAAATCTCAGTCATTGATAGAATACGAGTCAGGAATTGTGAATCATAGTAAGAACTGTTCTCACACTTACAAATGTATTAAAATATTCCATAAAATTTCAGCTGACCATAATGTCACATAAGTGATACAACAATATCATTTAGCTGTAATGCTATTGACAGTATGTGAATTTCAAGTATCACAAAATTTCTGTTTTTCTACTTTGTTGGTAAACCTGCCTTAGACTAGCCTAGCTTCCAAATATGTTATCTTTTGATAAAGAGAACACACATGGGTGCGCTGGCAAGGAGAGGGAACTATCAGTGTTATTTCTGAACACATAAAATGCAAATCAAAGTGATAAAGTGGATAGGATTCAATTATTTGTAAATTTTATTTCTAGTCTATGCTGACAATTTCCACATAAATGACTATAAACCAAGAATAAATTTATTTTGTGAACTGCAGATGCCCAGTGCCAAGGTCTGAGACTAGCTATCACATATACTCACTTAAGGACATATTCCAAAAAAGGCAAGGCGTGGCATTAGTGATAACCATGAAATTTGATACCCAGAAGTTAGAGAAAATTGATTTTAGTGTTCTTGGTGGAAGAAAGTAACAGTTTGGTGAAATTATAAAGAAAAGGAGCACATTCCTTGATTTACATATTATTTTCCAGTCCCATTTTTTCCCTATTATTACAGAACATTATTTACTCTAGAAAACAAAGCTTTCTAAAAAGACTTCTAAAAAATACATGCAAGCTTCTTCATGTAACTTCTGCTATTTGCACTGTATGAGTTGCAAGAAGCAGGGGAGCCGTTACAAAACCCACAGAACAAGAGAGTGTGTATCTCTTCCACCATATGTAAAAGCTCATATACGTATAAAGCAAGATTGGCTTTAATTCAGACTGTTTGAATTTTGTTCCATTAGTGCAGCAGAGGTTTCTCCTAGCAGCCCCAGTAGTAGGCTTAAGTTTTAGACAGGAACATCAAAAGCTACGGGACATGAGTGTAGTCACATCAGTCACTCCATTATGTGCAGCTAGTCAGAAGAAATGCACTACTGATTGTGTGCTCCGCTAGCATAACCTGAGCTCAGGACAAACACTTAAAATTTATAATTACCAAAACCACAATACATTTTATATTCATATGCTGCAAGCTCAAACACGGTAAGAAGTCCTTAGTAACTAGTAATTACCAAATGACTATTTTAGTAGTTATGTCAAGAAAGAGCCTTAGGATGACTTGTCTAAAAACTAAATAGGCAAAGTTATTATGTGAATGAAACAACGGAACATTGAGCATCTTCACAGGTGCTTGATAACATGCTATAAGATATCCAGCACAGGTTATATGAAATAACTTGAAGTGGCTTCACTGCCTAAGCTATTTTAAGACACGGAATAGGATGCATACTAAAAATGATTTTTCCTATTTTATTTATTTACATCTTTTTTATACTTTATGTGCTGGATTCTGATACTTAGTTTGCAAAAAAAAAAAACCAATTAAAAAAAATCTGGAGAGAGCGTTTTCACAGAAAACATGACAACAGTGTTTGCTCTTGTGCTTTTAAAGGAGAGTACCTGTGCGTTGAGCTTAGGGCACTCCTGATTCTTCTGTCCTTGATTTTGTCCTACTGCAACAGCATAGGTGGCAAGCAGAGTCCAGAGATGCAGGGCTTGCATGCAGGCTGCCAACAAAAACCAACCAAATCCTTTTAAGAATTGGTCTGCTATATTTTGTGATCTTTCTATTCCTGCTGTATAGAAATAAAAGCTGACATGCATGGTACATAGTGACATCACTCTGAAAATACCAACACTTAAGAATGCTCTGATACATATTTAAAAGTAGAGAAACATTTAAGCTGAATTAACCTATTCAATTAAAACTGCATATTTATTCCTTTAGTGCTGTTGCTAATTCTGTGCTATCAAATTTTTAATATAAAAATACAGTTTGTCACAGTAAACAACTGCAAGTAAGCCCTCAGCTCACAACCTTGGCTTAAAAATGCAGGCAAGAAGACAGTCGGTACTGTTGACAGAAGCTGTGCACACTTACCAGAGGGTTTTGCAGGAGCAGCTGCAGAAGCAAAAGAAAATTCCTCTTGCTTGAGAAACACTAATATAGCAGCACAGGGTGCAGTTGAGGGCGTTTCCAAATACAGCCTGACTAATCCCCGTGCAAAACCCCAGGGTCCTGTGACGCACGTCAGCAATGCACAGCAGTTTGTTATGCTCAGCAGTACAGCCCGACGGGCTTACAGATCAGCTGGTTCACCAACAACAAAACCTTTGACCTTCACAGAATGAACAGCTTTCATGGATGCAGCAGGCAAATTTAGGCTGCTCTAACAGAGGAAGGCACTTGTTTTTCAAAGCAGAAGTTGACTGCTTTGTTACTTTTTAAACCATTTATAAAATTTTTGCAAGTATTTTAGGATTTCCTGTTGCAGAGTGCCACAAATTTCCTACCGCTCAGTGATATGCTCTCATTAATATTTACTAGGTATCACACATTTATTTATGTAGAAGAAGCAAATGAATTAATTAATCTTTGTTTTGGCTGTAAATATCTGTATGATACTGAACTAGGAAATCAAGGAGCCTTGTTTGTCAGGATTTTTGAAAGACAAGGCGACTCAACCTGCTTTCAGAAGTTTGTCATTAGGCATGTTGCCTGATCAAAGACCGTAACTAGGTGACACAGAAGACGGATTAAAAGAAATATTTTTTAGCGTGAGAGGATGAAGGAAGTATTGTCTAATCATATTTCATGCTCTGAAGTTGTGTAAATGCTTGAAAGTGTCACATGAAGTTAACTCTTGCTATAGCAACAGCGCAAGCTTCTCTGTATCACCCCATAACTCATGTTCAACCTCAGGTTCATGATCACCGTTTCTGGCTGCCAGAATGAACCACAAACATCAGGCCAACTCATATCATCAAACATCAGGCCATCAGTGTGAGCAGTGTGATCATCAGAACTGAAGCAAGGGCAGGTTAGTAGTGTAGCACATACAAAACCTCTATTGCTACGAAAAAAACGCACAACAGCAGGACTCTAGAAATTCATTAGTTATGAAAATTTCCTTCTAAGGAGGATGTGCTGTTCTTCTACATTAAAGAAGCCCAAAAATTCAACAGTTTTTTTTCTGAATGGTACAGTGGATCTGTATGTTTTGTGTCTACATTCCAACTGTAGGTCAGTATGTACTCTATTAGAATTCCTCAGTGTATCTGGCCTACAGTGTACTTTCATTTTTTTAGTGGTGTTCTCTCTGTTTTGACCCAACAAGACAATTAGTGAATACTTCAGCTGATACAAAACATGCAACTTTTGTCAACACTCATCCTCTTAGAATTGAACAAGATCCCCTCAAATGTACATGTTAAGTCTGCTGCATCCTGAAGCAGCAAAACCATTTGAAAGGTATGTTCAAAATATAACATAATCCTTGCAAAGGCTATATTCAGTAAATTGAACTTACCTGGCACTGACATTTGCCAGGATTCCTAGCTCCTATTAATCCACTTGTTAAAGCGTTTGTACACTGCTGTAGAAGGTACCATACAGGGAATATTACCTTTTATAGTATTTTATTATAGTTAGCATGCTTTTCATTAATATTTCTATAATACTGTTTTGGAAACATATGTATAATGCAATATCTTGAATAAATATGAATAATTTGCACAACAAAAAGTTGTAGTTTATGTCAGTGCTGGATTTCTAATTTAAAAAAATCCCTTGTGAATAATGAAGTAAAATATGCTTGCTAGATGAATCATGTAGTTCAGGGAAAGGCATCACTTTATACATTCAGTTTGCAAAGTAACTGCTTTTGGGATTTTATATATTTCAAAGGTGACACCAGGACTGATATATAGATGTGTCTTGTGAACCTGATTGATTAGACTTTGGTGGGTTGTGGAGCTGGCTTGTTGATATTCTGGTACTTCTCAGATGTGATTCAGTGAGAAAATGAATTCTAATGTTGTCAAGAATTTAAAGAAAATTAGCGTGCTTTTTATGAAAGTCAGGGAACCGAAAAAAGGAGGTTTCTTATTTAATTAAATTTAAATACAATTCCAGATTGAAAAAAAAAGAATTACAGAAATTAATTCCAGCTCTTGCAGACTGTTTTTGAGTATACCAGACTAAATAGAAAGTATTTCACATAAATTATTACAGTTTTAGTGAAAGAGCTAGAGAATGACGTGAGCAAAATTTATGTAAACATTAATGCAGCCAACACCTAATTCTTAGAAAAACAGCTACTGTATCTCTATCAATAATGTACTTTCACTTTAATGAAATTGTCATATATGAAACTCCTCGTCTACAAACCAAGGAAAACTGTCTTTTCAACTCCAAGAAACCTTTGTGTCAAACACTTCAATTACAACAGCTCCTACTAACCATGTTCTGTTACTGCTGATTTAAGTCAGTTGAGTTTTTGTTTACAGTGTTTAACTTCTGGTAAGAGATGAATTAAAATTGCCACTAATTTTTTAAAGAGAGAGAAACAAACTCCAGCATGACATTTCTACTCTTTGAAATATGGAAGGTCATTTAAATATATTTTAAGATCCACGAACTAAAGAGGTATAGCTATGTCAACAGACAGGGTCTATTTTAACCTTTTCTCTTTGGCTGAGGGCCATATCTCAACTATAGAATATTCAACACAGAAAAAGAGAGAGGGGTAAAAAAGAACAGCAGTTAAAACATTGGGTAATTTGTCATTCATGTAAGACTGGGAAAAGGTTCAACTTTATATGCTGGTGTGTTAGATGGACCTGGTGTGCAGAGATTCAGGATACTCTCAAAGAATATGAAACACTGCAAGTTTTAGTCTAAAGTAAAGAAAAACTGGTTTTACCGGTCCTTACACACCCTTGCCCTAAGTTGCATCTATTTGTGGAAAGACATTAACAGAGCACAGGTAAGTTACCTAAGAAAGTTAGGTAACTTACCTTAACTGTTTTTTTAAGTAAAAAACTGAATACTTCAACTAAACTGGCATCAGCTTTTAAAGATGAAGAAAGAGGACATAGTTAGGAGAAATTTCTGCTCATTAGAATATTTGCTACAAAATTTAGAGGTGACTGAAACCTGTCTGCAGTGTAAACATTAGCTGGAGTCTTTTTGTGAACTTACTACCTTTTATTCTTCTCTAGTGACCCTACTACAACTGAACAAATTTGAATATATCCCCATATTTTTTGTATATTGCTCAACTTTACTTGAGCAATACCTTGCTTTATTGTAGGGATCAGTTTTAAATATTAAAGAACTGTATTTGTTATCTAATTCTGCTTTTGTAGTAAGTTTACTTAGTACTCATTTTCCAAAGCAGTCTACTTGATATAATCTTACAAGACAAGGAAAGCTACCTGAACCTTAGTATACTCATACACCAAAACCAAGCAGAAGAAAGGAACCAACACAAGCCAACTGTATTCAAACATGATTATTATTCATGCCCTAGTGAACTGAGTTAATGAGCAGCATGCTGGTTCCAGGAATAGCTTTTGATATTTGTGACAATTACAAGGAAAGTAAGATAAATGCTCAGTTTGATGAAGCTGGGGTACATAAAGATTTAGAAGGTTGTCTTGCAAGAAGGTTGGATACTACATATTTTTTCCAGTAAATGTTTAGTGTAAAAAAACCCATACTAGCCATATTTGCAATTGGTATGATGCAGTACAGAAAAATTACTTGTATATGAAAGTGTATGTCTTTATAGAGATGATTTGTGAGGAGTATGATTCTTCAAAAAGAAGAGCTTGAATAGCATATCCTATAGAAAAGTGCTAAGGACATATCAAAGACTTAATTCATTAAACTGTGATAAATCCAGAGAAGATATATGCTAAGAAGGTGAAGGTTTTAACCTGAATGGTTATATTATTATAATATTATTATATATATATATATATATAAAAATATATATATATAAAACAAAACGTATTTAACAACTTTTTTTTTGATAGAGATTTTCTGGATCTGATCAGAGATCCATCTTTCTTTACAATACATGAGAAAACTGGTGATCATCTAAAAGTCTGACCATTTATGGCTGTATTGAACACTAAGTTATTAGTGCTGACACATACAGTTGAATGTATACAGAACAGCTAAACTTTTTAAGCATTTTTTCTTGTTGTATTTAATTCATCTCTCTGATGAGAGAATAAAAGATACTGCAGCATCATTGTCCCTTATGCACCTTCCTCTCATGCTTACGAAACCACTCCAAAGGCAGCAATCTCTGCTGGTGATAAATCAACAGACATTTTGACTTTTACAAGAAAGCAGGAGTGAAGGTAAGCCAAACACATTGCTGACTTGGTATCTTGAATTACAGGTAACAGAATGTAGGGTAAGAGGTTTTGATGGACTTACACATTATTTTTCAAACACAGATATTGTTACACATCACAAAACTCAGAAAGAACTGTAACAACTGTGGCAATAGAAGTTAACGCTTCATGCAACATTTCAACTTCTCTGTAGAAGTCTATGAAGAACTAATAGTAACTAAGGCCTGAATTTCCAGTATTTTATGTGATCTCCTCCTGTCACTCATTAGTCCAGGTCAAAACTTAGTCTGAGAGAATATAGGGGGTACAGAACATACAGAACCAGTACTACAGGTTCCGGGATGAATGACTACAGCTCCAGAGGGCCATCTTTTTTTCTCTGATTATATGTTAGGGGAATCACCTCATCTCTGTGCTTAGTTCCTATTCCCTCACTTTGGAGAGAATGAACCTTTTTAACTAGCAGGTTAAAAAGGAAGTTATGTATTGTTTAGTAATCAGTGAGTATCTATCTTGGAAATATCACTCTATAAGTGACATCCTACTTAGCAAAAATTTAATCTGATTAGCTTCATTGTTTCTCTCCTGCCCTTGCAAAAAAAGAAGAGAATATAAGCACCAAAATTGAAAGAAGAAATCAAGGTTGTGACACTCACTCAATGCAGGACAGAAGAAAACTGAGGCTTTTTTCTTGGCCTTCATAGTTTTATTTCACTGGTGCCTTTTCCTACCAATACTCTCTGGATAGTCCCCTTTATAATTCCATTACGAACCTCCAGCTTAAATACCAAATGCAGTTCTGGGTTCTTTACCTTACAGGCAATAGAGCAGAACTGGAAAAGGCCCTGAGAAGGGAGAATAATTTGCTTTTCCTGATAGTGTTTAATTGCAAGTATCTTATTTTTTTACCCCATCCTTCCTTTTTCTTGCCAGTTCTTCTTCTGAGAGCACAGATACAGAAAATTCATTTTGACAAATAAGAATTTTTTAATTGGAGCGGTAGTCTCGTTTTCCTATGGCACTGCTATGGAGCGTGTTGGAGTCTGGTTGTTTGAAAGATCCACTTCTCTCATGTTACACAGAATCTAACACTTACTTACATAATGCTTACAGGTGAGGCTGCTAATCCTTCCTCAAAATATCTAGGCAAAAAGTGCAGAATTCTAAGAACTGGCAGTATGTAAATATACTGTGGTATGTTTACAAATTCTTAATTAGCTATCAGGTGTACAAAAGCTCACCTTGCATAATAATGTAATTTTGATGAGCTATACTATTTTTTCCCCAAATTGTACATTTGCATGTATACTGTTTATAACTAAATACCCTTATATATCTATATGCACATGCATTGAAAGAACTTAAAACAAATGCTTGTTTCCTTGGAAGTTTCCCACATAACGCTATCTTGAATGGAATTTGCATTAAGCCCACAGCTTGGACTGAAGCAGTTGCTGCTGATTCTCTTCTTCTCTTATCTGCTTCTAAGAAAAAAACCACATCTGCTTAGATTTTTTTTCACTAAGCCTAAGAATGCTGTATCTAGATCAAATAAACTCTGACCCTTGAATAGTGGAGTTGTGGGACTCGGTTTGAAAGCAAAGTCAGCAGGACAAAGTTTAATCTACAATGCATTACCAGACACTACAATTCTCATAGAAGACTGTAGTGCTAATATAATATTTCCATTAAATTACACATTGAGACTAATGAAGTTTTTAACTGTTGGGTTCTCTTTGAGTACAGATCCTTCTTTAAAGTTCTTGTAAAAAATAATCGGTTAAGTCTAAAGATGAAATACAGCTACCACAGACTTTTAAAGGTAACAGGCATGAGGGATTGTGTCGCCTCCATGCCTCATTGTTTTATGGGTGTTTCTCACTGCTGGATCCATTCAAAGCTGCAATTGGATGCTCCTTATTTCTTGTACTTGCCTTCTAGAATCGATAAACCACGTGTGCAAAAACCAACCTGTAGTAATACTACCACTACTATACTTTGCACTTTACTACTGCTAATGTGTTAATATGCTACTGCTTCATGCTAATTTCTAATTTCTTTCAGTTCACGTGCCATTTTTCCATGGTAACATGCAGACCAAACCGAGGCTGCTACATGTTGCAAAGGCAAATGCAGTTCACAACAGTAAGTGCTACATCAATAACTGCTGAATGTAAAAACTACATTTTTAGTCTGAGAACTAGTAAGTTTCCAGCAAAGAGGGAAAAGCTTTAAAGGAACAGGGTTAACGGTACATTTCAGTCATATTCATTCTGTCAGCATTAAGGTGGAGCAAAGCAAACTCTTAGGTAAAAAAAACCTAAACCGCTAATAAACTTGGATTATTTCAGTGATCCAATTTGCAAAGCAGACAAACAGATATTTATATAAGGGTGCAGAAAGGAAGCTACAGCTAATAAGTGGGAAACAAGTAAGAACAAGTAGATTTGAACAGGAATCTTGGTGGCTCAAGAAGTCTGAAAGTCTATATTCAGACACTTAACGAATCTTCGGTGCCCAAGTCTGGGCTTTGCCCCAGCCCTTTAAAAATAAAATAAAATTACAAATTAAATAAATTAACTCTTTTTTTAAAGGTTGATATATGTGAAACTAGAAGTCCCATTTCCTTCTAGCAATAGGTATTATTTCCATAATTTATAGAAGTGTTATTAAAAATTATTTTTGTAAATATTGTCTGAGACAAGTCAGTGCAGTTATGTATTCTTTTGTGGCATTGGTGAATGAAAATAATATAGTTACTTTTAGTATCTAAAAATGGCATCTTCTTTGACTTATGTGCTGTGACCTTAAATATATGTCCACTTACACTGAAAAATGTCTCTTTTTTTAACATTCAAACAAAGCAATCTATCGATACTAGGATTAGCCAAATTAAAAAAAAATCCAGTAGACTTCTAATGAACACTGATTTTTTTTCTTGAACAGTCAGAAACTCCACACAAATAACCTAAGACAGAGGTGACTAACAAAACAACCATGGATTCCAACTTAATGGCACAGTGCCAGTCAAGCTGCTGAATGATAAACATGGGACTAAAAAAATTTGCCTACTGCAATCATCACAGGTTCTCTGATGTTTTACAGCAGCTGATCACTGGTGATTGAAGACTTTTGGATAGGAGAACGTGACTGACATCCAGCAACTGGTCAACATAACTGCTATGAAGATCTCTGCCCTAGGAAGAAACAGGCACTACAGATCAACTGCTGCACAGTAATGTGACTGCAAGAAGGCCAGAGGAAAAGTTAGACCTCATGCTCTAACTTTTATTTTCCACACCCTCCACAATAGTATACTTACACAACTATCTTGCCCAGCCTTATCTGACCTTATATCTCTGCACAGTGGTTAGGAAAGGAGGCCGGGAAGAAGAGTTGTGAGCTATTCCTGCCTCTCAGTTGCACTTAGCATGTGATGGGATCTGCCAAATTTCACTGCTGAGCATCTGACAGGCAGCAGAGACAGAGCTGCTACTCTGAGCTCTCTGCATGCAGGAGCAGTTCAGTTGTACTGAGCTCTCAGGCAGTGGCCAAAAAATGCCAGTGGCAGGATTCCTTAAAGGGCAATGTCCCTCATCCACCTCAGAGACCGGCCGGGACAGCTGAGCCCCGGCTCGCACCACCGCCACCTGCTGCTCGGCGCTGTCCGATGCAGCTCAGCCAGCGAAAATTCACATCTTGAAAATTAATTACCGTCTGACAAACGCACCAAAATACAGCAGTAAAATTTAACACTCTGCTTATTTTCTAATATTTTCCCTTAATGTCTCTCCGAGAATTACTCTTTACAGTAGCTGAAGAGTATACTGTACTGTACTTGCACAAAATACACTTGCATGCACACATGCAGGGAAGAAGCGTGGCTGATGGCTTGAAGGCTAGTAACATAAACTGGAACTAGCCAGCATAGAAAAGAATATGTATTTTGCGTTATGTTACTCATGCTAGTGAAAACAGGTAAAAAGAAGCTGTTGGGTTTGTTTGTTTGTTGTTTTTTAAAGGAAATATCTTCCAAAGTTCAGGCATTTTCAACTTTCCAGAATTACACAAATTGTGATGTTTTTACATTTACAGCTCCATTGCTATTGAATTTATAGCTCCTCCTATCTATAAATGCATGGATCCATACCCTGGGTCTCTTTAATACCTATATCGATCAATTTAGATATATTTTATAAAAGCTGACAGTTTCTGTTAACTCAAGACTGAATGGTACGATTGGAATGCTATGCAACTTTGATTTGTAATATGAAAAGATTTGCAATGATATGTGTATTCAGATAACTAAAAAAAACTTATTACTGCTTATATTGTTTGACAGTTAAAGGTAACATGTTTAATACTTGCAGTATTTGCTATTGGTCTTAAGCTGTAAAAAGTTTAATGGAACACATGCCATTATATCTCAACCAACAATCACAAGTTATCAGAAGGAGGAGAAAAATCTGACTTAACACATACCGAGCACTTATTAGAAGGTAAATATATTCCAGAGCAGAGTGATTCATTGAAAGATTGCTTTTCTGTTTTGGAGAAAGACTTTATACAAAAGATAAAAGAAAGCAGCAAACAAACTCTTCTGAGCCCATACTTACAATATATATTATAGCTTGACATGGCTTATACTTACTACATGAGGCTCAGTTTTCACATATAGATCATCATGTTTTTGAGAACTGTTGTAAGTAGGATAAATGAGTCCTAAGGAAACTAATGCAGAATTACAGATTTAATTGATCTTCCCATACCTATTCCTTGTAAGAATGTATGTTTCAAGATCTGCTGAATTAAATAAAAAAACCCAAGGCAGCAGCAATTTCAGAAAATTAAAACCTACTTCTGAAACAGAAAGTTGAATTGTAGGATCAGCTTATTATATTAATTAAGTAAAATATTAGTATGTACATAATCTGTATAATAGACAACTTTTTTATTCTTAACAATTAGAGGAGAAAACACTGGCATTGAGTCAATTTTTATTCTCCAAGGACCCACATTTTTTAAATTTCCAAATGAATTATTTTACAGCGAGAATAAAAAACTATTACTAGTATGTAGGTTGTATCAACATGTATTGTGCTTAAGGTTTTTCTGCTCCATGTAAACTTGTTCTACAAGCCACATTCTAGGTGGCTATTATGCATGGTGGCTTATATTAGGCACACATATTATGCATTCTCTAAGTGGCATATATTATTATTATCTCTGCAAACTACCTGTGGGCAACACAACCTTGTTTTAGTAATTGGTGTCTATCACTGTCAATGTGTATTCCTACTGAGGAATACAGTCTAAACAAAAACCAAGTTTTATAGAAATATTTATATGGCATCTCCAGTGGTCATATCAGATTTAACTTGGTTTAAAAATGTTAAAAATATTCTAAAAATTATTCTAATACGCTAGTCACTAGTAATATAAGGGCTCTCAGTCACATGTTAATAGGTAGGGGCAGTATTATATTTCAGCAGTTCTTTTCACTACTTAGGTTTATTTCACAGCACCATTCTTTTTGAACAGCATTATTCCCATGTGGATCACATCACTGGATAGCTCTCAAGGTCACATTTCAAATATTATCACTGCAATACTCAGACAGTGACCATGTCCTGCAGTGGTGTCTTTAGAGACAGTCCATTTTCCTTCTGTTCCCCTTTTGTTGATTCCAGTTTACTCAGGCTCAAACTCTTTATCTTTGTACAGGCAAAAGTCCGTATGAAGGAGTTTCAAACACTAACCATTTAGATTCTCCAATACGTATGCTACACACTGCATGCCCCTCTACTTTATCCTCCACCTGGAGGTCAACCTGCTGGAGTAAGATCACAGTTACTATAACAACTAGTTACAAGCAACAAGGTAAGAATAAAGAAGTAAAGTGGTGTGTGATTGCTGCCAGTTGTAAGGGTCTGTATCCGTCATCTGTGGCACAAATGCTCTTATGCCCTTTGAAACAAGAACCTAGTCTCACCAGAGATTGGTGAGTAAAAGAAAGTAATCATAACAAAAAAAACCAAACCTGCCACATAAACCCTGTAACAGTCTTAGTCACAGAATTTGTTCCTTTATTTCTTAGGGAAGCAGATAAATAGCAGTTACCTCTCTTCTTATTCGTTTACTTATTTCTCTCCAAGTAAACTCTAATAATGCAAAAATCCATGCATTTCTTTTCCTCCCCTAACACAATAAAATGAAAACTGCCCAGAGACATTTAAGAATGGGTGATTGAAACGTTTCCTGTAAACTCAGACATTGCTTTTAAGTTGATTTTTAATTTGTTGTTGCTGTAACTTGATACAAAGTCTCTTTTTGGTGTAATTACATCCCCTCACTTCAGGGCGAGAACGGAGAAACAGACAGATGTAACTAATCTCTTCCCAGTTTTCTGGAAAAGAAACCTGGGAGAGGAAGCCTCAGTTTAAGGTATTCTGCTATTCTGTTTTCAACCAGCTCTATTATGTTTCTCATCCCTATAAGAGAAATGCAATAAAAAGCCCCAAAATTAAAGAGTGAGGAATAAGCTGCTGAAAAAAACCCAGGGTTCTAACACCTTTGTGTATGAAACAGGAAACAGAAAATACTGTTACTTCATTAAGAAGTTTTTCTTATATTAGCCCCATATTTCAATTAACATAGGCTATTCCTTACAGATGAGTGTTTTTGAAAGTCTCAGGCAACATTTTCCACTCTAGTTAGCGAACACCTGTTTTGTGCTTAACTGCTCAAACTGCTTTGCAAAAGGTAATCAAGAAACTGAAGTCTATTGTCAGTACAACTATTTGCTATACCAGAATCCACAACTTCACTGAAAACTTGTCTGAGACCTGAAAAATCCAAAAGATTGAATGTCATTGCAAGGTTTAATCTCTTTTTAAAGTAGACATGAAACATTATCTAAAAAGTTACTTTCAGAATCTAATTAATTATCAACCATCCCTTTAAATTAAAGAGAGCAACCTTGCAGCTAACTTTTGCCTTCACCTGACTATGGGAACACTTAGGATAATTTCACAGAATTGGCAATTTGGCTGTGCAAAGTAATACACAAGGCTTTGAGAGATGGTTGTTTCTTAACACACCGAGTAGAACTTCATGTGACTGGCTATATATTTACTATTAATGCCTCTGTTACTTCAGAAGTGGAGCTGAAGTAACTCTGTCTACATTCATGAGTGCCTAAGGGAAACTCCCTGTTTGCAAACTACAGATGGTTGATGAAGACACAATATTAACACTTTAATTTCAAACTTAAACCTTTTCTTTCAAATAAGATGCAGTAATTTTAAGGTGTTTTCATTAAGCTTAAATTTGTGTAACAGGCTAGTTACTGTGCTAAGGAAATCATCCACTGAAATGTGAGCTAGACATTTAAGAATTTCTTGATTTTTATTATTGAGCAAGGAAACATGGTTACTCTTTTCCACAATGATTGAAAATCCTTTCCACTTTTCTTCACATCAAACATTCTTGGCACCATAATCCCTGATACTTTCTTGTCTTACAGATATTCTATTTGATTTGTAAAAGTCACTGTCTTTTTAGCATTTAAAGACAGCTATTAGTAATTTTTAACTTACATTTATATTAATCTAATTTCATTTTAACTAAAAAAAAAGTAAAAAAAAATTGCTGTAATTAATTATAATGAAAGAATATTTCATTGGTGAGAATTCACGTAACTAAAGTGTAAACTGGCCTGCTCCCTACTGATTTTGATAAAAGTTATACAGCAAGGTAATTCTGAGTCTACGGTGAGTATAAAGCCAAAGTGCAATGTTCCCTGAAGAAAACTTAAACCAAAAAAATCTGCTGAAAATTCAAGAAGAATCCTGTAATTTTAATCTAACACGGAAGATCCGCCTCACGTATTAGAAAAAATACATTTCAATAAAACAGTATTGTTCCTCACCACTACTCTAACCTAGCTAAATACAGACTGGAAAACAGCACTTTCTCCCCACAGCTCATAGAAAGGTCTCTCTTGAGATAAAATAAAACTGATACAGTAAATGACAGATGTTGAATGAAATCTACATTGGTGGGTAAAACTATTTCAGGAAGCTTCTCACAATGCAGCATATTCAAATAAAACACATTTTTGCCCTTATTTGACAAACTAAACTCCTGAGTATAAAAGTTACATAACTATTTCACTTTGAAGAAATTGCACAGGCTGAACACATGTGTCTACTGAAAATACTACTTAAGAAAGAAGACTTGCATCTTCAGAACTGAAGGTATTTGTTAGCTCAGGAAGCTACCAACTTGAATACTGGCTGACATGCTCGCTTGTTAAGTGAGTAGATAGTATTAATATGTTGCATCCAACTGAAGAAAAAGGTTTCTGCATGAGAAAGCTGACATGCGTTCAACAAGTTTAACATTTTCCTTGCAATTTAAAGCTGAGAAAAGTTCTGATCATAAAAGCGAAATTTTTGGAAGTATCTCTTTAGGATCACAGATTTGTGTCCAACAACAGTGCTCTGAAAATGTTATCTGAAGTACATACTTTAGAAATTCACTTATCAGAAATCAGTTGAGCATTGGCCTAACATTTTTTCCCCTATCAAAAGCAAAATCTTTGCAACAAAGATAAAAGTTTAGCTCTTCCCCACCAAAACACCACTTAAAACATTCTACAGAGAGTTAATATAAACACATCTTCAGCAATTATTAGGCACTTTCTGAACTACAGTTCAAATCAGGTATTGTGAATAGGAGTCAGTGAAACTATTAGGTCTGCCTTTTGAGTGCTCATGTGATCAGGCTTTTAGATGTTGCTATTTTATTGTTCACATAACTAAAAAGTAAGTTTTAGCACTACAGTACTACCTGTTGTAAATGGGCTCAGAGAAACTAAAAAGTAATGCACCTGCCTCCAAACTGCTGAATGACATGACTGATGACTAGAAACAATATCTTTTTCAACAGTAAGAATGATGACTCTATAATTAGCAAAAACTCACAGCGGAATTCTTCCTTGGACCCACGTTATCATAAACTGCACTGTATGAATTCCGCTGGCAAGTGTGGCAACGTATGGCCAAGCCAGTAGTCAGGCAGCTCACAATTTACATACACAGTCCTAGCTCTTAGCAAAACATGTTTCCATGTGTAATTAAAAAAACCATAAATCTGAGCATTTAGTAAAGTTTTGCAGGGGAGAGCACAAAAGATACATTGGCCAACACCAACCGATTTGATGGTTTCAGTTCAGTTCTTCAGCACAGTGATGTACAAATCGCTAATTTTGAAGGATTTCCACATAATCAGCATGATGTCCAAACTCAGACCGTTTACCATCCAGTTACGGATATTTAGCAGATATTTAAACAGTACCCTAAATAACAAGTTTAACCAGGGCAGTAGAGAGCGAGCGAGCTCCATCTTCCTTTTATAGTAACCGTGAGCAGGCAGTGCTTCCCAGTTTCAACAGATGGTTGGACACGTGCGTGTGCACGTCCCAATTTTCTTTTAAGCAAGTTACAAGCAGGCTTTAAAACCACCACCAAGACCCACGGGTACATATGTATCCCATGGGCCGGAGAGGACAGGCCAGGAGGGAGCACTTTCCACGCTAGTGGGTCACGCTGTGGTGGAACCGCAGGTGCTCTTGCGTCCAACCTCTGTCTGTGTCCAAAACCGGGCACAACATCCCCCCTCTGCCCCTTCAGATATCCCTTCAGGATATCCGCCTGTCCCCGCGGGAGCGGCCGTACGGAGCCGCCGGCCGCAGGACAAGTCGAAGGAGAAGGGCATGCGGCCGAGGGGCTCTCGGCCTCTTACCACGTACCATCTCGATGATCTTGGTCTTCTTACCCGTCTTCTTCTTCATGGTGAAGATGTACTGCGCCAGCACCACCCCGCCCACCAGCGCGCACACGCTGGCGCTCGCCATCGCTCCCATCTTGGCCACGGCGGTCCTGTCCATGGTAGTGGTTCCCGAGAGCCGCGGGGGGAAGCGCGTCCGTGTGAAGGAAAGCGGGACCCCGGCGCGTCCCACGACCGCCGAGGTCGGCACGACCGCGCACACGCGCCGCCCGCCCCGCCCGCGCCGGCCGTCACCACACCACAGGAAAGGCGTGGAGGGAAGGGCGGAGAGAGGGAAGAGCGCTGGAGCTGAGCCCTCCGAGGAGCGAGAATTTCCTTCAGGGTTCTTTTGAAAAAGGAAAAAGCACCAAGCTGTTGGGAGGTTAGTTTGTTTCTTTTTCCCCCACTGCGCTTGCTTCAGGGAACTCTAAAGAATGCCTCTCTTCCCTCCCTCGCACACCCCCCCCCTCGCAGAGAAGAAATGACAGATGCCCGAGACGGCCACGCGCGCCGCTTCCCAAACTACACTTCCCCACAGCTCCCTCCGTGGGCGGGGCGCGGCGAGCGCTGCTGTGCCAGCCGTAGGAGAGCAGGATGCTGTGAGATGCGCGGCGTGGAAATGCGGCTGTAGCGCTGCCGCTCTGTCTCTCTGTGCTTCGCCTCGGGCCGCGCCTGAGCGAGGAGCACCTGTGAGGAAGCGGGGCTGCCGCCCCGGGGCGGCTCGGACTGCGCTGTGCCTCCCGCCCAAGTAAGCCCCCGCCGGGCTCTGTCTCCCTTGTCCCGCTCCACTGGGATGTGTGTGTCCGGGGCTCGCGGCGGTGCTGTGGGTGCCGCACAGGGGCTCCGTGAGGGAGGGAAGGAGGGGTGCGTGGGGAGGGCTGTGCTGTGCCAGCCCGCACTCGGCGGCAGCAGGTTGCCTAGGGGGCATAGCGACGGGAGCCGCCCGAGGGAATAAAGAAGTACTTTAATTTTCTGGACGTCGTATCCTTTAAAGAGGAAAGGCGCGGGCTTGCAAGGCTGCGTTTGCTCCGAATCCCGTCCTTTTTCCTCCTTCCCGCTGGAGCTGCTGCTGGCTGGATGCCCCTCGGCTCCTCTGCGGGCTGTGGGATCGAGTGCGTCCAGGTTCATGGACACGGGCTGTGAGTTTTGAACTAGGATAACGTTATTGTCAAGCCGCCTACAAAAGGATTAGTCTCCTCGCTCCCTCCCTCCCCCATTCTTAAAATAACAGCAGGTAGGGAGCAGAAAAGCTGATTTGTGCCCTGCGTGACCGAGTTCTTTAGTCGTGTCACTAGAGCATCTTCAAGGCGATTACCTGGTGGAGGTTTTCATGATGTCTGTTTATGCCTTCGTTTACTTTTCTAAAAATAAGTTCTCTTGCAGAAGATTTGCCTCATAATTTTTTTTTCCCCGACACTCCTTGGTAACAGAAAACCTCAGTTCTGTGACTTTGAAAACTTCTTATTACTTAATGGTTGTAACAGAAGACTTTTCGCATTTTTTTAAAAAGCTGTTATTTTGTTGCATTTTCTTCGTGTAACTAGCAGATTCTGTCACAACTAATTTAACTAATGACAAGAAGGTTCCTAGGGTGGTTTCTTGAACTACGCTGGAGTTAATGTTTATTCAGCTCACACTAGTGCAATGTGAAGCTAAGAGTTGTAATATACTTGATAAAAGCTGTTGCAAACAAAGGAGAAGTTGTTTGTATAAACAGTTGTGTATATATTAGTATACACTTTTGACAATGGTTTGTTTCCTTTTCAGTAAAGAAGAATGTCTTTGTTTAAAGCTAGAGACTGGTGGTCCACCGTACTTGGAGAAAAGGAAGAATTTGACCAAGGCTGCCTGTGTGTTGCTGATGTTGATAATAGTGGCAGTGGACAAGGTAAATTCAGAATTATGTGGTTGCTGACTTGTAAGCCACTCAGCTGCAAGATTGCTTTGACCTGAAAGCTTGTTAGCCAGGCTAGTTTGCTAGTTAAAGTCTGCTATCTTTAATGTGTCCTTGTAGGCTTAAGAAGACAAATTCAGTGCTCTCTGTCCTTTTATATTTATACGTTTCTAAACATGTTAATCCTTGCTTGTGTTCACTAGTAATTTCTCTCATGTCTTATTCTCTCAGTGGTAGATATCTTTAAAATAAAACATTTTCAGTTAGTCATGGAAGCAAACATGTTCCAAGCTGTTGTAAAAACCTAAGGGAAAAAAAAAAAAAGGAAGGTAAGAGCTAATAAGCTAAGAATTTAGAAAAACAAATAACCCTTTTAGTCTGGAAAATAAGTGACAATTGCAATAAGTGACTCTGCTTGAGTAAACCCTGCTTTTTTATGTAGTCATTAATAATGTGAAATGGTCTTTGCTGTCAGGGAAAGTTTTTTGTGTATATGGTTTTTAAATTAATAAATACACTCATGCTCACCTTGGAGCTCTGTTTTTGCTCAGTAAAGCTACTTGAGTTTGATTTCATTACTACCATACTCTTCTAAAATTATTTTAATTATTTTAATTTTAGATTGTCCCTTTACAAAAGAATTTGAATAAAGTTGAGCTGTTAGTTACTTGGTGTACAGCCTTTTTCAGTGGAAATTCATAGAGTCATTTAGGTTGCAGAAGATGTTTAACGTCCAACAGTTAGCACTCTGTGTTCACTATTAAACCATTTCATTAAACACCATGTCTACATGTCTTTTAAATATGTCCAGGGATGGTAACTCAACCACTTCCCTTGTCCGTTTCTTCCAATGCTTTTGGTGAAGAAATTTTTCCTAGTATCCAATCTAAGTTGTACCTCCAGACCCTTCACCAGCTTTGTTGCCCTTCTCTGGTCATGCTGCAGCACCTCAGTGTCTTACTTATGGTGAGCTGAATACAGTATTCAAGATGCAGCCTCACCAGTACTGAGTGTGGAGGCACAATCACTGGCCTGGTCCTGCTCACCATACCATTTCTGATACGAGCCAGGATGCCATTGGCCTTATTGGCCACCTGGGCACAGCGTTGGCTCATGTTCAGCTGGCTGTTGACCAACATCTCCAGGACCTTTTCCACTGGGATGTTTTCCAACCACTCTGTCCCCAGCTTGTAGCACTGCATGGGGTTGTTGTGACCCAACACTTTGACATGTTGAACCTCCCACAACTGGCCTTTACCCATTGATTCAGCCTGTCCAGATCCTGCTGTAGTGCCTTCCTACCCTCCAGCAGATAAACACTCCCACCTAGCTTCATGTTATCTGCCAGCTTATTGAGAGTGCACTTGGTCCGCTTGTCCGGATCATCAATAAAGACATTAAACAGGACTGGCCCCAGTACTGAGCCCTGGGGAACAGCACTTGTGATCGGCCACCATCTGGATTTAACTCCGTTCACCACTAACCTCTAGGCTCAGCCATCCAGTGACTTTTTTACCCAGTGAACAGTGCACAAGTCCAAGCCACAAGCAGCCAGTTTCTCCAGGAGAATGCTGTAGGAAAAGGTGTCAAAGGCTTTACTAAAGTCTGGCTAAACAACATCCACAATCTGTCCCTCATCCACTAAGCTGGTTGCCTTGCCATAGAAAGAGATCACACAGGTCAAATAGAACCTGCCTCTCATAACCCATTGTTGGCTGGGCCTGATCCCCTGGTTGTCCTATATGTGCTGTGTAATGGCACTCAAGATGATCTGCTCCGTGACCTTTCCCGTTACTGAGGTAGGGCTGACAGGCTTGGTAGTTCCCTGGATCCTCCTTCTGACCTTTCTTGTAGATGGGTGTCACATTTGCTTATTTACAGACAGCTGTGACCTCTGCAGTTAGCCAGGACTGCTGATAAATGATAGAGGTGACTTGGTGAGCACTTCCACCAGCTAGGTGGATCCCACCCAGCTCCATAGACCTCGGTGTGTCTAAGTAGCGTAGCAGAATGCTGACCATTTCCCTTTGGATTATGGGGGCCTCATTCTGCTCCCTGTTCTGTCTTCCAGCTCAGGGTGCTGCATAACCAGAGAACAACTGTTCTTCTTCTATTAAAGACTGAAGCAAAGGGCACTAAGTGCATTAGCCCTTTGTCACTGTGTTCCTCCCTGTATACAATAAAGGATGGAGATTCTCCTTGGCCCTCCTTTTGTTGCCAGTGTATTTATAGAAACATTTTTATTCTTTTATGCCAGTAGCCAGATTTAAGTTCTAGCTGGGCTTTGGCCTTTTTGATTTTTGTCCTGCATAACTTCAGGACATTCTTGTAGCCCTCCTGAGTGGGCTGCCCCTTCTTCTGAGTGTCATCATCTCCGCTTTTTTCCCTGAGTTCTAGCCAAAGGTCACTGTTCAGCCAGGCTGGTGTTCTTCTTTTGGCACACAGGGACAGCCTACTCCTATACGTTTTAAGATTCCCTTTGTGAAGAATGTCCAGCCTTCCTGGACAACTTTACCATTCAGGACTGCCTTTCAAGGGACTCTCTCGACCAGTCTCCTAAATAGGCCAAAGTCTGCCCTCTGGGAGTCCAAGGTAGCAGTTCTGCTGAATCCCCTCCTTCCTTCTCTGAGAATTGAAAATACAATTTTGTAATTGCTGTGCCCAAGATGGCCTCCAACCATCACAGCATCTACAAATCCTTCTCTGTTCACAAACAAGTCTGGTGGGGCACCTTCCCTTGTTGGCTCTCTCACCAGCTGTTTCAGGCAGATATCTTCCACAAACTCCAGGAATCTCCTAGATGCTTTCCTCTGCTGTATTTCCAGCAGACATCTGTTAAGTTGAAGTCGCACATGACAACAAAGGCCAGTGATTGTGAGATTTCTCCCAACTGCTTATAGAATATTTCGTCTGTCTCCTCATCTTTGTTGGGTGGTTTATAACAGATTCCCACCATGAAAGGCCTTGCTGGCCTTTTCCCTGATTCTTACCCATAAACACCCCTATCATCACCATCATTGAGCTCTAGACAATCAAAACACTCCCTACCATACAGGGCTACTCTACCACCTCTCTTTCCTTACCTATCCCTTCTGAAGCATTTATAGCTATCCACTGCAGCCCTGCAGTTGTATGGGTCATCCCACAGTTACCATGATGTTTCTGTCATGGCAACTATGTCATTATTTTCTAGCTGCACAGCAGCTTCCAACTCCTCCTGTTTGCTGTTCATACTGTGTGCACTGGTGTAGAATTGCATTATTGATCCTGCCGCCTTTTTTTGTGAAGTCTTAATTCTCTTGTGACTGTT